TCCACGGCAGAAAGTGGTGGGTTTTCTTTCACTTTTAAGCTTTTATTTTCTGGCAAAAATTAGACTCTGAATCTGTGTGAAATATCAAATTACAGAGGTCTGATTACTTGTAGGTCAAAGTCTACTGTATTTGGAACAAGCTGCCATCACACTATTAGAAAATCTCGACTTAAGCTTCATGGCTTGCTCTGTAATTTGCGCAGCATGCTCACAATGGGTCTCTGATGTCTTTCTAAGCTTTTCTTAAATTTGTCCTTGAGAAAAATCTAAATAAAAAGTCTACGTCAGATTCATGACGTGTTCTTAAACCACTGAACTGTTCGTGCCTTTGTGCTCGAGTGTGCGCAGATTCCCAAACAAGAAAACACGCGCAGACGCACAGACTCTCAAAAATGGTGCTGGTGTGGATGAAGTTTAAACGGATGAGAAAAAAAAACTGTCTTTTAAACATCTGGGTACGTCTGAAAGGGCCCCCCTTTTTTCATCTCTGCTGTGATAATGCACCTTCAACGCTGACAAGGACGCATTGAGCATTGCAACACACTACAAATGTTAAGTAGTCATATGTATCAATGACCGCTTCTGCACGTGGTCTGAATGATCGTACCACACTGCGTCTCTGAGACACTGTATCCCATTCACACCTGTCATCCACTTATGACCAAATCACCCAAAGATGCATATTAACGCCAGGTGTAAACGGGCCCACAGTTTACTATGTAACTATGTGCAAGTATGTAATATAAGCTAAAGCCACACCGTAAAAAACAAATCCTGTAAATTATACAGTAAACCACTGGCAGCAGAATCCCAAACCATTTACTATTTTACAGAGTCAGGACTGTAATTCTGTTTTACTACGGAAGCACTGATGTGGGAATTGTGGGCCAGTGCCTATATAAGATTTTTTTTCCAGATTATGATACATAAAATTTCAAAAATGTAAAAATTGAGACAAAAATCTCCCTGAATTAGGATTACAGAGAAATATAACATTCATTTCTGTCAGTTAATGCAGTTTCATGCACTTAAATGAACAAAATGGAGACATTTTAGCTCAGCAGAGCAGAGTCACCTAAACAATCTGCTCTCCCAAAGTACAATAAACACATCATCAAATATCAGTTTGAAATTTCTGTCAAATCTAAACATCTGTCCAATGTCCAAACACACTTTACACACAAGACAATACAGCAGTCACAAGCATATGCCAGTCTTTAAGACTGCGAATGTGGCAATTACTCATTCACACTAGAAGATAAACCACTTAACAGAGACACAAAACACCATCATGGTTGCAAAATGACAAAGAAGCTGGAGATGAACTGTAGATGAAGAAATAAAAGCTAATTAACACAAACTGACAAAACCGCAATTAATGCCAGAAAGCTTCGCCCCACATCACTACAATATTCAGAGACAGAATATATTTAAGACTGTACAAAATCTACAAGTAATGGCTCGTTACTGTAAATCTGTAATCTGCTGAAAACGGCTGTACTTAAGTAACACAGTAGATTACTACAGTATTTCTATGTAAACTATGAGATTGAGCTAATAATGTATGTACGTGTATCAGTACCAGCACACGCATTCACACACAGGCATAATGGGTCCTCCATTAGGCTGCTCAGTGATATGTCACAATCAGTGTCTTTGGTAGAGACCTCTATAAGAGACAAGGCTTTGGCAATAACAAAGTCTTATTACATCATTTACCGGCTGACAGCACAGAGTGTGTTCACGTCATAAAGAAACTGACATACAAACCTGGAACCAACTCTACTTCTGACATGCCAGCACAAATAAACAGCTTGATCGATGCTTTACACGCCTTCGCAGCACCCACATGACACACAGCAGAGGAAGAGGCCCTCCACAGGAGCTGAACAACACACTCCACAAAGTAATGCTCTATGGTACATACTGTCAGTCATGACTGCAGCTTGACAATATTACGATGAATTTTTAGGCCTTGACTAATGAAATATGAAAGGAAGTATCAGGAAGGGCGTCGAATACCGTAAAGCGGACCCTCTTGGCCTTCTAGGTTAAATTGTCTTATAATGCCCAAGACTAATTCACTGTGTTAGCCTTGGTGTAGTGAACAAATAGGCTAATATGACAAGCACTGGGCTAACTAGGCCCTACTTCTCAATACACTGAGATGTCCAAGAACTATAAGGCTATCACAAGCATTGTGCTAACTACATATCAACACACACAGAACAACAAGGATAATAAGACAAACATTGTGCTAACTGTATCTCAATAAACAGACTTCAGAGAGCAACTAGGGTAACATCACAAACATTACGCTGAATACATCTCAATACATTGAGATTTCAGAGAACAACAAGGCTAAAAAAAACATGGTTCTTCAATGGTTCTTTAGTAAAGGGAAAGGTTCTGCTTAGAACCATGAGTTCCATATAGAACCATTTCATGCTTAAATGGTTCTTTGCATTGTGAAGCGGTTCTTCAGACCGATGGGGAATGTGTGGTATATGATTCTGTATAGAACCTTTTTGAACAAGGTTCTACACAGCCCCAAAAAGGATTCTTCTATTGTTACAAGCTTGCTACAACTCATGGTTCTAAATAGAACCAATCGCTTTACTAAAGAACCTTTGAAGAGTCACCTGTTTTAAGAGTGTAGCATCAATAAATTGTGTACATACTGATCAAGGTCAGGGCTTTTCTTTCCAGCAAAGAAGAAAAAACAACCAACACACACAAAATTGTTCAGACATTAAGCCTCTGCATCAGCAAATCATTTCACAAGAGAAATTCTGTACATCATTTGCTTTGTTTTCAAAACATTAACTCTATCAGCTAGAATAGCTCCCCTACATTGCTTAATGCCCGACCACAGGCTTTACCCGTTTTAGAACTCGCTTTTCCGGACGCGCACCAAAAACACAGGCTGCATGGACAGCTTTGTTTCAACTGAAAACCTTTCAGCTGCTGCCAACAAGCTGGAGGTCGCAACAAAATGCAGGCCCCACTGAGGCCACCTTTTCAAATTGGGTTTTGAACTTTTCTCCCCACATAGGTCAAGCTCAAAATAGGAGCGCGTGTCTTTACCTAAACAAGAAAAGCAAACCTTATTTTGACCATTAGGCTACAGGCTGCAGTCTAAATGGCATCTAGCTCCCACTGATATTGGCAACTTCTCTTCTGTATATTCTGACTCAATCATACTCTCCTACAAGAGGAAATAACAGAAGACTTTCAGTAACAACGTGAAGAAACAAAGCAGACTACGTCTCTTAAATGCCACTGATTATTCAAGATTTCTGCGTAATTCTAACGTCGATGTGAACAAAGTCACTCAGAGAGGTCTGATGCAAGATATGCCATTTTTCAGAAACTCATTGGGTCAAAATTGTTCAGTTGTTAACAGCAATCAACTGTCTGAAGCATTTAAAGCCTCTACAAGCTACATCACAGGAAGCTTTTACATGAAACGAGTATGAATAGGGTGTCTGATGCTCGAGACATTGTTTTGGCCTAAAAGGTCTTATTCGTGTAAACACGTTCATGGCGGAGGGGCACATGCAGGGCAAACATCAACCCCACTGTAAAGAAATCTGACAAGTTTCTCAACAATGCCCCACCTCATATCAAACCACTCTGCACGGCTTTCTTTACATCTCAACCATTTAATTATGCACATCTTCCGAAAAAATCTCTGGAATTCCCATTTAATCTGTAGTCTTCAGTGATTTGGAGGACAAATCACAAGCTTGAAGTTCAAGAGAAACATACATCCTTGGTCAACCTGAACTTTTGTTAATGGAGGAAACTGACTGAGTTGACAAAGTTTTGGTGTTTGTTCATTCCTTACTGATTCATCGTGTTTGATAACACAGTCATCAGTGGATGATGAGAATGATTAAGAGCAGTGGGCTCTTGACCGCGTAACCTCAACCGATCTGGACCTTAAATAAACAGCAGGAGAACCAAACCAACCCAAATCAATCCGTGTTGGATTGCTATCTAACTGATGATTCAGCAGATGATTCAGCCACATCACTTACAGAATCCCTGATACACATTCAATAAACCTGGATATTATGGATTCAGGTAATGGAGCCAACCCAAACTTCACTGTGCCAAACACAAACGAGCAAAGAAAGTTGAGTCTGTGCCAAAATGGAGATACCTGATGGGATTAAGGAGAATGACAGAACATCAGCCATCCACAGCTGATTGTCTTGATCTACAAGCCAGCAACAAAGATTGATTACTGATGTGGCCTCCAGCCAACCTTCAGGGCTGACAGCTTAATATTGCTATCAGTCCACCGCCTGGCGAGCTCTGCCCGGTTCTTTTGCTGTAAATCGCTCGATGCATCATTACATGAGGGCATCTCTATCAAGCCCGACTTGTTGGCTCCAGCTGCTTCTGAGCCTCGCCAGCAAGGAACAGGTTAGCCCATGCCATGTCTTCAGGCTTTAACTTTCTTTAATCTTCATTCCATCATGTGGACCAGGCGATAGATGGCCTTGAGTGCCTCCTGGAGAGCCCAATCCCAACTTTTAAAGCCCTGAAGTGGTGGACGCTGGTGGGCTGATGGCTCTTTCTCCCCCCACTAAGAACATTCCAGGCTAAAGAAAAAAGAGAACTGCTGCTTTCCACCACCAAACAATCCACACAACGCAGAGACACACGCCGCCTAACTGCACACAGGCACACGGGCACATTCGACTCGTTTCTGCCCAACTCCTGCCACTCCAAATCCCACTTTTCCCCCGCTTCGTGATAAAGAGCAGCCCGGTGAGGAAGTGCAGGGCCCGGCGTCGCCATACACAGCACGACCGACCGCACAGGCAACACACCACGTATAGAAGGAGCCCGTATAGCACCGCACAGCAGCTACCAGCACCGAGCGGAAAAGGCAGCGGAGAATAAAATGAAAACTCCGAGGCCGAAGTCGAACAACCCGCGTTCGTGCAACGACCCACGCGGGCCTGGTCAAGTTAAAACGAACTAACCTGTTTCTGAGCGGAGCACTCCGTCGGATATCAGGGCTTGAATCCGAGTTAAATCCACTATCAGTAAAACAAAGAGGCGAAATTTGCCGAGCGCTTCCGAAAGAGGCCGAAGCCACCGGGCCGCGATGCGCATGCGTAGAGCGCCAGGAGGCCTGGAGGACTGAATGGGAGAAGAGGGGGGAGTTTACAGGGGTGATCATTTGCCTCATTCAGCCTTACACTGGTCATTTTTTAGGGGGAGTCACTACGTGGGAAGTTTGGATGAAGCATTTTGTAAACACTGCTGTTCAGGTAAGATAAGGTACTGCTGGATCCATCAGAATACTTATTGACCACATCACACATCAATCAAAAAAAAAAAATCTTAAAATGCTGTCACAACGACTAAATAACTAAATAAATCAGTGTCAGTCAGCAAGTAAGTGATCCTGGCTGCAATTTACAGAGGTTTTGCTGGCACAACAAAAAAGCTTATTTATTACACTAATAACCCCAGAGAGCAAAGGTAGGCTTAAAGGGCCTGTATCATAGGAAATCGATTTTTCTCACTTTTTAAAATAAGAGCTTGGTGCACTTTGTAAACATAGTTTCAAGCGTCAAAACGTACCGTATGTATAAGCCAAGCTGTAAAACAGCCCTGTTTGAATTCCGTGTTTTTGTGATGTCACGAACTCTAGGCAGCCTAGCTCCACCCATTCACCCTGAAGATACGAGGGGCGTTGAAACCCGGACTGCTTTTTGAATACAAGGAGGTCATTTGCATATATCAGTCTTGAAGGGACAGTGAAGAAAACAGCCTGTTTAATTTTAAGGGATAAAGAAATGAATTATGACTGTTTTTGGTGTGTACATAGCAAGGAAATACAAAAAATGTCAAATCAAATCACGTTTAATGTCAGATCACATTTACACAGGTGTGAAGATGAGTGAAAATCTAAGCTGCATTAGCCCCCCTGTAGTACGGAAAAACACACACAAAAAAAAAACATATATATAAAATATGTATGTTTTTATATAATGTGTGTATATATACATATATATATATATATATATATATATATATATATATACACATATAAATATATACATACACGTATACACACACACACACACACATTAGACTCTAAATATGCACACAATATGAGTATAGGGGATATAGGCCCTTTAATGAATGAATGAATGAATGAATAAGTAAGCTAAGGAGGTGGCGCTGAATACTCTTTGTGGATGACTTTTCAAGACCCTCTTTGATTGAGTAGTTTACTAATGCACAGTACCGTAATATAACACTGGAGTGTAAATATATGCAGCCTCAGCACGTTACGAGATAATCAGGCCGCACAAAGCACGTGTATAGCCTCGGACCACAGGTCACTGGAAAGCACTTCCTGTCTGATAGCGTGTTACAGGTGGGTTTCCAGCTGTGCGGCTGTTGTGTGGTGAAAAGCGTGGATACAGCAGCGGCTCTGAGTCACTAGTCACGAGGGTGAGGGCGTGGTTACCTCACCCCAATCTAACTTCATTGTACTCTCATTACTTTCCTTCTTCTGCTCGGACTGGAGGACATACGGACTTTCAACACGACGAGAGAAGCGCAAGGACTCAAGACCACCAGTCTCGACCCCTCTGCACTCTGGACTCTGAGTCGGGTTAAAGTTCCTGGTCGGTCATGGCTCGTAAGGAAACATGGTTAAGCAGAGTGCGGGAGTTGTGAGAAGTCAGGAATGCTTCCTCCTGCCGGGCCGGTCTGTCTGTGGGACTGGGAGTGGATTTCACCGCCCTGTTCGCTGCTCGTCCAAACCTGACTCATGGATGATGGAGCGGCCAGCAGCCAAACACGAGCTGAGCTCAGTCCAGCGCTGAGGAAAGCGGGCGAGTTCAGAGTGTACAGAAGAAGATGGTTCGTCCTGTGTGTGCTCTGCCTACTGAACTGCTCCAATTCAGTGGTAGGTCACTCAGGAATAGCTCCTGTTTTGCTTTTGGCTCGATAGGCTGGATTCAGCCCCAGAAACTCTTGTTTGTTACAGTTTTAGCGAACTGTTACTAGAGTACACTATATAAAGGGCTCTTCAGTAAAGGGAATGGTTCTATCATGAGTTCAATATGTATATATTTCATGCTTAAATGGTTCTCCAGATTGATGGAGAATGTGTTGTATGTGGTTCTATATAGACCCTTTTTGAAAATGAACCACATATAACACCTTCTCCATCAATCTGAGGAACCATTTCACCACGCAAAGAACCATTTATCCAGAACCAAAGAACCATCTAAATAGAAGCATTCCCTTTACTAAGAAAAACCTTAAGGAACCATGTTTTTGTAGAGTGTAATCTTTTTAACTGCTGTGAATAATGTACGAAAGGTGTTATAGATCACTTTTAAGATGTTTCTTTTTTTAGGGTATACGTTGTTGGGATTGGGCTTTACACATACAGGAATTATCAGTGCTATATTATGATTAATGCCACCTTTGATAGAGAGCTAAACATGTGTTTTCCATTGTATTCCAGCTGTTATTCTTTAAAAAAAACTCAATGTACAACCAGAATTGTTACAAGTGGACATACAGTATTTTGGAATGAAACAAATACTGGCTTCGTCGTCCAGAGCCCTTACTGTCCACTATAACCTGATGTTCCATGTTACCTATAGTCACCGTAGGCTTGGACTGAAAGAATCAGAGGAGTTCACAGGAGTTTAAATGGCCATTTTCGAGCTGTTATTCAGCTCTAGGACAAAGAACCAGTTCAATCAGTGCACCCCTTATCACACCAAGTGGACCATAAAGGGGTCAAACTAACATTATTGACCACAAAGATGACCTGAGTGTTAGTGTTTGCAGAACAAGTAGCAGCTATTGCTGGCGTTCCTATCATACAGTCTTAATGTGCATGCGCTGTCGTTAGTATAATGTAGTATGTTTATTGTTTTATTGCGTTTTTAATGTTAATTTCAATTACTTCAAATGTATTATACGGATTTGGCTTAATGTATCTTTTACCATCTGCCGTTATTTATGATATCCAAATATCCTGCCTATAGCTTTAATACGAGTAACATTTTCTGATATGTTCATTTAGGCCATTAAAATATCCAACCTATAGTTTTGTATAGGGAGCCACCTATAAATATACTTTACAGTAGGACATTTCGACAGGATCCAGAGATCGTTACCATTCCAAAGTATAGAAAACATCAGCAAAGCACTCTGATCAGCACTTTTCATTCCTGTGTACACATTGGATAACCTCTGTGTCTCTGTACATGAGAGTACACAGTCTAGTCATTATTGTGGAATTGCACATTATGCACTTAATCACTTCAAAAAAGTAGTCTGGCTAAATGACAAACTGCTATTCAGCCAAATACTCCAAACGCCAATCCTGTGGGCCAGCAGCACTGCTGACTCACATTTTTAGCTAATTCCAAAGCCTTTCATGACTGAGATCAGGGTAAGTACTGTGCTCTGCAGTGCTGTGGTCCACATACCCTCAGCTTGACACCCCTGGGCTTAACAAATTGCCCATCTCTGTTCTACTAAGTGCTATATCGGACAAATTTGAAAATGCCTCCTCTAGGACCCTGTACCAACAGGCCTTGATGGGTAATCAATATATATTGATCAAATACACTACCGTTCACGAGCTTGGAATCCCTGTTCAAAGAATTTGGAATCACTGTGTTCAATAATATAAAACCAATTTGGTTGCAGACAGATGTGTACAGTGATTCTGATATGTTAGTCTTGTACAACTTCATGTTTCTAATAATTAGTAGGCTTTTAGGTAGCTGTAAATAAAAATGAAGTTTTAAATGTATCCATAATAACGTACAGAGCTGTAAAAGATTCTAAAATAACTGACAATAATCATTTTGTTTATAAAATGACAAAAATGGTTAAATATGGTAAGTAATTCCAAATGGTACTGCATATCTAATATACACTCACTAGGCACTTTATTAAGTACAACTACCATGTATGTAGCCTCACTCACTTGTATCTACCTTGTGTCCACCTTTTGTCAGGCCCACTTACAATATAAGAGCACTTTGTCATTCTACAGTTTCTGATTGTAGTTATTCAGTTTCTTTGTATAATTTGTTAGTCTACTTTACACCGTTCATCAGTGAACAAGACCCCCACTGAGCAGACCACAACTGACACAAATAACAGCTGTTCAGTGGTGGTCCTGTGGGCGTTCTGACCATTGAATAACAGGTTAAAGGGGCTAATAAATTATACAGAGACATGGAAGAACTAAATCTGTAGAACTTATATGATAAGTAGACCTGATAAAGTGAACACTGAATACAGATACACACACACACACACACACACACACACACACACATAAATACACAGATCAGGCATAACATTTTGACCACTTCCTTGTTTCTACGCTCATTGTCCATTTTATCAGCTCCACTTACTATATAGGTGCACTTTGTAGTTCTACAGACTGTGGTCCATCTGTTTCTCTGCATACTTTGTTAGCCCCCTTTTTACCCTGTTCTTCAGTGGTCAGGACCCCCATGGACCCTCACAAAGCAGGCACTATTTGGGTGGTGGATCATTCTCAGCACTGCAGTAACACTGACGTGGTGGTGGTGTGTTAGTGTGTGTTGTGCTGGTACAAGCGGATCAGACACAGCAGTGCTGCTGGAGTTTTTAAACACTGTGTCCACTCACTGTCCACTCTATTGGACACTCCTACCTTGTCAGTCCACCTTGTAGATGTAAAGTCAGAGATGATAGCTCATCTGCTGCTGCACAGTTTGTGTTGGTCATCCTCTAGTCCCTCATCAGTGGTCACAGGACGCTGCCCACAGGACGCTGTTGGCTGGATATTTTTGGTTGGTGGACTATTCTCAGTCCAGCAGTGACACTGAGGTGTTAAAAACTCCAGCAGCACTGCTGTGTCTCATCCACTCAGACCAGCACAACATACATTAACACACCACCACCACATTAGTGGTGAAATGGTTCTTCAGATTGATGGAGAATGTGCTGCAGATAGTTCTATATAGCACCAAGAAGTGTACCTCTACTGTTACAAGCTTTTGGGTACTATACAGAACCCTTTTCAAACAGGTTCTATAAATAACCCTCTACAGAACATTGTCCATCAATCCAAAGTCTTGCAAAGGGTTCTTTGAGTTTCATGGTTCTATATAGAACCATTTTCTATACTAAAGAATCCTTGAAGAACCATCATTTTTAAGAGTGTAGGATGTGGGTAGTTGATGCCCTGTAAGTAAGTAAAGTAGTAAAGTTTATTTATATAGCGCTTTTTACAACAGGTGTTGTCACAAAGCAGCTTTACAGAAAAAAAAAATCAGCATTACAGAAAGAAATCAGCATTACATGAGCAAGCCAGTGACGACAGTGGCAAGGAAAAACTCCCTAAGAGCAAGAGGAAGAAACCTTGAGAGGAACCAAGTCAGAAGGGGAACCCATCCTCCTCTGGTTGACACCGGATAGCAAACACTGTTAGTATAAGGTATTGTAGTACACAATGTGGAAAACAGGTGGAGCAAATGATTAAATTGATTAGTTTAGTTTATGCAGCAGCAGCAGCATCGGGAGGGAAGTCATCCCTGAAAGCCCTCTGAGGGGACACTTTAAGGGAAGCATGTAAATCAAGTCGTCTCAGAAGCTGACCAGACCATCACATGACCTGTTTAGAGTTTCTGATGTGAGATATGAGAAGTGTTAGTGGAGACGTGGTGTGTAACTGAGGTTCTGAAAGAGTACGGCAAAGGTTAGTCTGCATCCTGTTCCTCTAATAGCAGTTCTCTGATGACTCTGCAGTGATGTGTCCCTGGAGTCCCTTCTCTTAATGTCTTTTTTTATCAACAAAGTTTCTTTAGTGTTAAATATGATTATTACCATGGGAACTTCATCAGGTGTCATATACCATTAATATATTTATCTGTGGTATGATTTGCTCTGAGATATAGCAGAATACTCTGCTGCAGTCATTATCTGAATTAACTGTCTGTTTAGCACCTAAAACTGTAGGACTGGCAATGCCAGACTTCAGTTCCTCATGCTGATAACCTCATCTCACATATTCATTTCGTAGTAGTTACTGAACGGTTGCTGCATAATAAGCCTTAAGGGTGAATTCCCGAGATTTTTCAAAATTTCTGCATAGTTAAATCGTTAAGATGTAAAGAAAGTCATGCAGAGTGGTGTAACGTGAAATGGTGCATTGCAGACTTGGATTTCTTTACAGTGGTGGTAAAAGGAACTAGGGGTTGCCATGTCTGTACCACAAGTATAACCACTGTATTTAGTATCCAAAACCACCAGAGAACCCACAATGAAGGTGTCTCGCGAGTTTTTTTATGTGATGTTTATGATGGTAAAATAGTAGTTAATTTGAAAAATATGTTTTCTTTGTGGACTATTTTGCTTCACAACTTTCTGCATGATATCCCTCTGCCATGAATTTTTGTAAAAAAAAATGTGTTTTAGGCCAAAACTCCATCTAAGAACTATCGTAAAACAATGTCTCAGGCATCAGGCAGTGTGTTTATAACCACTTCATTTAATAACTTTCTGTGAGGGAGCTTTTAGAGGCATTAAACTCTTCAGACATCTGGTTTATGTCACCATCACTGTGAACAATACTGACTCAGTAGGTTTTTATAGAATACAGCATTTCACATCAAACCACTCTAAATGACTTTCTTTAGCTCGTAACAATTTAATTATGCACAAATGTAAAAAAGGTGGAAAAATACTTTAAATGCCTTAATATTTATAACTTGTAACTCTAGAATTCCACCAAATGTTAAAACTTATTAGAAAGCATTACTATAATTAACTCACTGAAAAAAGAGACAGAGCAGTACAGAAGTACAGTAATAAAGGCAAATGTACATTTGCATGTTGGCTGTGAAGTGAATGGCTGAAAAGTGTTTGCAGTGTGAGTGATGGTACGGCTGAACAGTGGTGCCATTGTGAAATGGTGTCAGCTGACCAGACTCCTCCACTTGGCTGCAGAAATTAAATATTTTGGAATGTTAACAAACGCTATTGTTGTGTGAGGTCTTGTGCAGAACTACCGCTGAACTATTCGATTGCTCATAATGTGTCAGATCTAAAAAAGTGAGCGCTGTCAGGTCATATGAGTGTGACTTGTGCTTTTCTAGTTTCACATCGTGCTGTAGGGAACTGAGACTTTGACTTCCACTCTTCTTTTATCCTAACTCAGGCGTGTCAAACTAGGTTCCTTCCGGATCACAGCTCTGCAGAGATTAGCGCTTTCTCTGAATTCAATTCATGAAGGCCTTTCCAATTACTTGCTAAGTTGAATCAGGAGTGTATTATGAGGCAGAATGCTGAAGTCTGCAGTGCTGTGGCCCGCGAGGACTGGAGTCTGACTTCATGATTAGTGGCTTAGGCTGAACAATTTTGTTGGAAAAAGTTCAATTGTGATATTTTTTGTGATGATTATTGCATAATTTGAAAAACAAAAAATAGTCAAAAACACTCACAAGTGGAATTTTCACTCTAAAAAATTGAAAAGAGTATGTTTAGAGAGAGAATGAATCCCATAAGGTCAACGCAGATAAGTGGTTACTTCTGCCATTCAGTCTACTCTTCTCTGTTAATGACATGATTTCTTAGTGCTGTTGTTGCATCTGTTTGACATGGAAAGAACTTGTTCTAACAACGGTTCTAACAAAAATTCCTAGATTTTTATTTTGTCTGCCACAAACTAACTCTTTGTTTAAGCAACACATGAATAGAATATACAGTACTGTGCAAAAGTCAAAGACCACCTTTTATTTATTTAATTTTTCTATTCAAAACAGCCTTTAAGTATGAATTATTTATTGTAGAGGATATTACATAGTTAATACAGTACATAATGACGAGGAACGTCGAAAGAAAATAAGTAAAAAAACAGGAATCTCCAAAACTGGAGTTGAAAAAAATCCTAAAAGATACAGAGAAAGTGGGATTCCTAAGAACCGAGCAAGAGCTGGTAAACCACCAAAACTGTCCCTATCAGATAAACTGTACTTAAAGCTTTCATCTTTGAGAAAGAGAAGAAAATCAAGCTCCACTCTTACTTCAGACCTAGAAAACATCCACAGGTGTTTCTGTCCATCCTTCCACGTGTAGCTGTTAAGAAGCCCTTACTGAGAAAAGAAAACAAACAAAAGAAGAACATTTGCGAATCAAACAGAGGAATAATTTGCAAATGAAACAAAAGAGCTGCTGGTGTTCTCAGAACAATGGACTGACCAACCCAGAGTCCAGACATCAGCTTTACTGAATGCGTTTGGGATGACTTGGAACCAACTTCTAAGACTGAATTTAGGAGGTGCGGAACAATATAGATTTTTTTAAATCTGAAAACGATGGAAGCTGTAATAAAGGTAAAGGAGGGACAAAATATATACTGAAAAAATATGTTATTTAGTTGTTGAGGCTTCTGTGTAATTTTCTTTTATATGTTTTCTGCCTTTTTGTTGGAAAAAGTTCAATTGTGATATTTTTTGTGATGATTATTGCATAATTTGAAAAACAAAAAATAGTCAGAAACACTCACAAGTGGAATTTTCACTCTAAAAATTGAAAAGAGTATGTTTAGATTTCTTTTATATGTTTTCTGCCTTTTTCCAGAAAAATGAATAACGTACCTGGCTGTTTGACTGGAAATTAAATGAATGAAGGGTGGCCTCAGATTTTTTTTACTGTACTTCACAGTTTTTATTATGTTGCCTTTTATCATTAGTCTGATTAAACACAACTATAAGTGCTTACCGATCTGAATTCACTCTCACTGAACTTGCACGTTCACTTTAAAATGATCACACTGCATCCAACTATAAAGGCAGCATGGTGCTTCTTGTACATGGTGATAAGAATTCCACATGCTGATCCATTATACTGTGTTTTTTAAAGACTTAAATGGTCTGAACGTGTAGGTTAAGATAGGGTTAACAGTAGTCAACATCTGATAATGTTTTCCAGCAGTGTGTGTGATAGTACGGGTAAACAGTAGTCCCATTGTCTGATTTGTGCAACCCTTCCCAATGGGGTTAGAGCTGCACAATATGGACAAAATACTGTACTAAAATACCATATTACCATGTTATTGTATTTACATAGCTACATACTGCAATAAATTGCAATATATTGTCCAGTATATTTAAAACAAATTTGTGAAAGTTGATGCTACGTGGATTATTTTTGAGCAGAATTATTTATGTTTGTTCGAATGCCATGATTCATCCAGGAACATCTGTGATTGGTTAAGATGAAAACGTTCTGTGTTTTGCGTATTGCACACTGCATTATCAGTATTGCAAAAGCTGATGTTGGGATAACAATTAACGAATGATACATTGTGCAGCCCTATTAGTGGCATATTTCAATAGTGTAGGACATTATGTACACAACAGATTAACTTACCTTTAAACACTCACAATGATAGTGTGTTTTCTGACATGTTATGCATTCACATTGTGACATTATTGTGTTTAATTGTGTGATGCTGTAAGACTGACTGCTGTGTCGTGTGCATTTTGCTCTGTAGCAATGGCTGACCTTTGCTCCTGTGGCGGATCAAACAGCAGAGGACCTGCAAGTGTCTCTGGACGAGGTCAACTGGCTCTCTGTCGTCTACATGGTGGTGGCCATCCCTCTCAGCTTCATCACCACATGGATGCTGGATACACTGGGACTCCGGCTAACTGTAGGTAGAATAACACGAACCTGAAGCCAACAGTTTACATGAATAGCAGGTACATTTGTGTTTATATACACAGCATCCAGTATGATTCAACAATAAGGACATTACATGGATTCAAAACTCCTTCCCAAAGTAGTTATTATACAAAGATTATATTCCATCAGAGAGATATTAATGGTAGGAACTGTATACATATCTCAGATGATCTTCCCCATGTTGACAGATGACTTAAGGGTGTTTGGTCTGCATGTGACTGAATATTTATAACCCAGAGAAACAGAAAGTTGTAGATGACCAGTTAATAATTCCTAAAGACTCAGGTGTGATAAGAATGAGAATATAGTTCTGTCAAAAACTGTTTATTTAGAGATTCATAAAATGTGGACCAGGACACCTAAAGTGGATATCTGAGATATGGAGTAAGATTTTGTGGACCGAGTATAAATTGGTAATTGGGATTACTTGGATTGTGAAAAGCAGAAATTGCAACTTCCGAGACTGAACTTTAGAGGTGTGAAAAAATATTCCTGCAGATTTCTTTGAAAAACTGTAAGCAAGACTCCTGAAAAGAATGAAAGTTGTAATAAAGAAAAAGATTGGACACAATAAATACTGAAAAAATCTGTTATAATATTTAGTTGTTGAGGCTTCTGTCTGATTTTCTGTTACATATATATTTTCTGATTTTTCCCAATGCAAAAAATTAAATAATTGTACTTATTGGCCAGTTTGACCATAAATTAAATAAACGGATCGTCTCTGACTTTTGCACAGTACTGTATATGTCGATTACATTTTATTTATAAGAATTTTTTGAGAGGCCAGTAATTGTGGGAACTATTTTTGAGAAAAAAAAAATCAAAAGATTTATTTTTCCTTTATTTTTTCATAGCCTTTTTTTGTGTATATTATCCAAAAGTATCAATAATTATTGAAGGCAGTGTATGTACTTATATGCAAGTATGCATGTTTTTTTCAAATTTTTTTTTTCAGATGCATATGTACTCTGAGTAATCGGAGGGCGAGTGTAAGATATTGTGGAGCTACTAAAAACAGATCAGGGTGTCAGACTCCTAGCGGGCTACAGAACTGTGGACTTTACATTCTGCCTTATTTAACACATCCTATTCAGCTCTTAAACAAATAAATAATGTTGAATTCAGAGTGTGAGTAGAGGGAGAACACTAGTCTCTGCAGAGCTGCGGCCTGTCTGGACCTGAGGTTGACACTCCTGGTCTAGGGCTTTAAAATAATGGAGGAGATTCACTTTCGTTATAAGATCAGAACAGCATGATTCGCTGCCATTGTAAGACAAAAAGTCCAGGCTAAGTCCGGTATTGATAGGTCCCTACCTGGATCCAAAATGTCTATTTGGGTCAAAAACCTTGATGAAATTTTGAAAAACTGATGAACTCTTGCAGAACTCTGGTCTTCTTTGCCCCCTGAGCGTGTCTATTCTGGTTTACTCAGATGATCCTGGGCTCCTGGCTCAACATGGCTGGCAGTATACTGCGGGTGGTGGGAGTGCTCACATGTGTCCCGGAGTGGGCCATGTTCCCCATGGTGATGGCAGGGCAGTCTCTGTGTGCTCTGGCCCAGCCTCTGGTCATCTTCTCCCCCACCAAACTGGCAGCGCTCTGGTTTCCTGAGCACCAGCGCGCTACAGCTAACATGATCGCCTCAATGTGTGAGTCAGTCATCAGCAGTTCAGTTAGTGTTCTGGAAAAGTCAAGTATGCAGTAAAACGTCACAACTAATAGCTGTATTCCTTTTCCAGCAAATCCCCTTGGACTGCTGTTTGCTAATGTCTTCTCTCCTATGATCATTAGCAACACCAACAGTCTTCTTACACTGGTAAGATGGAAATAAAGTGTCATTAATGTCTGAGCTTCTATGACTTACTGTATGTTTCATACACTGACACACTCTGTCACTGTTGCAGCTCATCATATACGCTATACCTGCCGCCGTAGTCTGTTTCCTAGCAACAGTGGGGATCCGGGAGGGTGTTCCCCCAACGCCCCCTTCTGCCAGTGCAGAGACCTCCAGCTCCGAACCTTTCTTACAGGGCATTAAACTGGTACTGAACATACACGCTCAATTAGATGTTAATAAATGACTGTGTTTTTTTCAAACAATGTAGCAATAACACTTTAAGCAATCGTTTAACCATTTGCTTCTTACTCAAAATGTCCAAGGTTTGCTTCTTTAGCTTAGCTTTAGTTTGCTACAAAACTTAAGTGGCCACCAAAGTAGTGTTGCAGTAGATTACACAAAAAAGTAATTCTATTCTATTACAAGTCTATTACAAATGTAAAGGCGGTTACTTTATTTATTACTTCCTGCGACAAATAATGTCAGTACACATTACCTCTGCATTACTCCATAGTCGAATTCAAAAGTTTGGGTGAAGAGAAGTTTACACATCCTCTACAGAGAACACACCTCTGCACACTTTAATGCACAGTTACTGTATTTAAAATATTGGGTACAAAATAAAACATAAAATGTGGCCTACGCAAAAGTTATATTTTATGATTTCCTTTTTAATTGTGCAGAAAAATGCTATATTTAAGTTTGTTAACTTATTTAACTTATAACAAAAATCAACAAAATGTCATTTGACTTGGGTGTTTAAACTTTTGTGTACTGGTCAATGACCAGTAACGTTTTTAAAAAATCGCATTAAGAAGGACATGATGTGCATTTTTATATCTGCATATATATTTGTACTTGTATCTATGAGCATTTTATATCTCAAATACAGTTTGTGTTATCAAAGCTTTTAAATGCCTATTTCAGTTATGAAAACTGTACTGGTCTGGTTGCACTGTTTGACTTACTGGTTGTGCCTTTCAGTATTTTATTTAGAAAGAATCACAGTAAACATTATTTAAAAGGCCTGTCTCTATCCCTGCCTTTAAACAAGACACAGCCAGTTATGCATGAATAAAATAATAAACTTGGTTAATGCTGTTTAAAAGTCTATGAAACTACCCCCTCCCAAAACTATGCATCAACAGATTTACAATTTAAAGGCTCTGCGCATCACTGTTGCTCTCTGAGAGACATATGAGTAATGGAGTAATGCGAGTTACATTACTTTCTTACAGAAAGAGGTAGTCATGTTACTGTGATTACTTTTTACCGTATTATTCCCCACATTGCTAACAAGTAGTGTAGGCTTATGACAGCTTGCAGGTTTCATGCCTAAAATGTACATGACATGCAGCTATTTATAAAAATATCTCTATTTTTGGAGAAAACAGTATGTCGCACAGTGTTAGAAGCTACATAGGCAAGTATATTTGATGTTACTGCTCTATGCAGTCTGAAGCAAGAATCTGATGATTTTGCTAAATGGTGTTGTATAAACTTCCATTATTTGTTAGCTACATTAGCCTCGTGGCTCCAGTGCAAAACAGAAGAAGCACCATTCAGACACTAAACATATCGTGACTCAGTGACTACGTTTGGAATGAGAAAATTAGATTTTTAGTCAAACCCTTGCTTCAAGTTAAAGTGCTGCTTTTACCTAACTGAGAAGGTGCTGTGTTTCTGTTTCGCAGCTGATGAAGAATAAGGCCTATCTAACCCTGCTGGTGTCTTTCGGCTCAGGCATCGCCATCTTCACCTGTTTCTCCACACTCCTGGAGCAGATGCTCTGTGTCAAAGGCTACTCGAGCGTAAGTCAACAACACAAGCTAGAAATGGCACTGAGGTATCAGGTCAATATCAGCAGAAAACGCTGCATCGGATATTGGAAGGAAAAAGAATGAATCTAAACCGATGCTGTTCCAAATCCATACTGAAACAGCACACACTCAGATTGTGTGATGTGATGTTGTTAGGTGTGTAGTTCTTCCTGTGGGTTAGTAGAGTGGTTGAGTTGTTTGAGCACGATAGTCCATTTTTAGATGCTTATCTTAAGTAAAGTTCTTCAACTGAAAAAAAACCTCATAAGAATCTACTGGAAATATTGGATCTAAATATCAGCCGATACTCAAGGTATTAGTATCAGTATTGTGCCATCTCTGACAAAAGCACCAAATAATTGTCCCAAACATTTTAAATATTTTTATTACCAGGAAAAGGATGTTAGTGGTGTTATGATATGCATTAGTCCTCTTTTTTGCTACATTTGTGAGATCAAATCCAGTTACAGCATATACTATAAAAATATTTGTGATATCAGACATGCAGACATAAATTGGAATGAATTTAAAAAAAAAAACTTTACAATCACAGAAGATAAAAATCCTACACCCTAAAACCATTTACACTTTATGTGTATTTAAATGTATTTGTCTTCTAAGAAAAGTACTTCTTTGTGTTATTATGCTTTCGCCCGTAGTCCTGTTTTGGCAGTTAAACTTTAATTAATGCATTTGTTTTTCACTTCTGCATTCAAAATGTATGGTATTGTGGTCCAACAAAAAAGTTAGCACATCATCTACAGAGAACAAACTTAAATATAGCTTTTTCTGCAAATTTAAATGCACACTTTTTTCTGAGTTTAACATATTGAAAAAATATAAGAGTAATATGTGGCATAACTTTTGCACAGGACACATTTTATGTCTTATTTATTTAATTTACAATATGTTAAATTTGGACAATAAACAGTAATTGTACATTAAGATGTGCAGAGGCGTGTTCTCTGTAGAGGATGTGTTAACTTATTTTCACAAAAACATGGAATTTGACCAGGTGCACCCAAGGTTGTGCATACAACTAGTCTGTTTTTTTTTTTTTAAAGCAAGGAGAAAATAGTGGATGATGAGGTGCAAACAGGTCTGACTTGGCAGACTGACAACTGTTCCACATATTTCCTGTCTTCATATATTTAACAATAAATCTTGGCCAGTGTTGCCTTACAGTAAAGTGAGAGGACGATCTTAAACTGTATTGATCCAAGCTGGGCACAGAGAGTTGTGCCTCTTAGTCTGTCAAGATTTATTCCAGACTTGACGTTTCCACTACTAATTCCTCCTCACAGTCTGACTGAATCTTATTGTGTTCTATTTGTGAGGTACTATATGTATGTATGAATTATATCTATATATTTGAAATTGTTCTCTTTAGTTATGAGGAAATGTTTAATCTCGAAACCTGATCTAAACGCTAGAATAGGAAAAGTAGGACTTTGAATATGAGTAAAGTGACATATTTGAAACTATCTAAATCAATTAGAGTTTGGCAACAGAGGAAAGGGCAGTAAAGGTCGCAGATGTCACACCTTTGTGCAAACACAGGATGTAGTTTAGCTCAAAGGCAGAGATAATTGTTAAGTATAGGACCGTGTAAAGATCTATCAGACCACAGCATGTCCCTGCCTGAATTAAGATCAGCTTAAGAATTGCCACTACACTCAGGCATGCAGTATGTAGAACAGAGGCATTACTCAGTACCCACTATCTGTATCTTTTGTATGTTTGCTGTCCTTAGTAATGCAAAAGGTTGGGAAGAGCCAACTGAGCCATCTGTCCCATCTGAGCTCTTAGTCTTTGTAGACGTGCTTGACATATGTTTGGTATTTTGCCAAGTTAAATGCGGATGATCAGCCTGTTTGCTAATTTAAAAAATAAGATTTTGATAGAAACACATTTAGCCACTGAAATATACCCCCAGAAGAGCAGAGTGGTCTGTCTCCAATTCTGGAATTCCAATTTCAGTTATTCAGTAAGGGGTCCCTAAGGGGTCATTCTACCATATAACTTTATTTTGATAGTAAAGCTTGTCCCAAGATTTTTTTGTCAGTGGTGATATAAAATGTCCTATAAAAATCAGGAAGATTTTTTTAATGACTTCTTTCAATAGAAGAAAGAGAGATCCAGTTAGTAAAATCTATTTTTATATTTCTGATAAACTTGGCTAAAATACAGACGTCAGTGGTGCAGTTGATAAAACATTGTTTTTCAAATATAACTAAAATAACAGTGTAATATTTGTCATTTTCTACATGCAGCGTGACTTTGAAACTGAAGTGTGAGTGGATTATATTTTATAAAAGCTCAGATTTTAGTAATTTTGTCAGTGGTGTTACAACTATATTGATGTCTTTTAATATAGACTACATTTTGCACTTGTATTCTGCATCAACATTCCTACCCCGTTTGCCACAGCAGTGGCAGAATGACCTATAAGATGAACTGTGATGATAACTGAAGTGAACTAAGTGAACTGTGTGATGATAACTGAATAAGATCATTGTAATTGCTTAATGATGCACGTACGAACTATACAGATAGAAATTCCTGTTTGTTTGACCGTGGCAGGATTTCGCCGGACTGTGTGGAGCTCTCTTCATCGTGTTCGGGGTGATCGGTGCTGGCCTTCTTGGCCTTTTTGTGGACAAGACAAAGAAGTTCACAGAGGCCACCAAAATAAACATGTGCCTCACCTCTCTGGCCTGCACTGCGTTTGCAGTGGTGAGTAGAATAATGAGACGCTTTTCAGACAAGGATGTCCAATCATTTTAGCATGGAGGACAACCAAAAGAAAATCCCTGTGAAACTGTCTACACTGTCTGCATAAATCCAGGTTTTTGTCTGTCAGCTGTGTTTTAGATGCTCTGTATTTCACATTCAGCAAGCATGCTGTCTGTCTTTTACCAGGTTTCTCAGATGAGGGAGCAGAAAGCTGTAGTCGGTGCAGTTTGTGCTCTCTTTGGCTTATTTGGATTCGCCGTCTATCCGGTTGCCATGGAGTTGTCGGTAGAATGCTCCTATCCAGTCGGAGAGGCAACATCAGCTGGTCTGATCTTTATTTCAGGGTATGTCATATTAGGGGTGGACGATATGGCAAAGATATATCACAATACTTCAAACTTTTCCATATGACTGTGCAGTTAGTCAGTGTTTTGTAAGCACTGACAATATAAACAATATGCTAAGAAAAACATATTGTGAAGTAACGCAACGTAATTTATCATGATAATGATAAATATTGTCATATTACTCTCTACTATGTCATATACTTTAAACATAATACAATATATTGTCATCTTGTATTACTTGAAATGGTAACTCTATAAAGATAACTCTTTATTCTGGGTAATTCTGGACCGTTTTTATTATTCCATTTACCATAAAATGTTGAAATGATGTAAAGGAAATGGCAGCTAGCTTTTTCAGATTAAGTTGAGGTTTTAATATGACAGCATTGATATACAGAACTTCGTCTAGTGTATAAAGTCTTCCCTATTTATAAAGCTATTCGCTCTTTCTGTGAATTCATTAGGCAGATCCAGTCCATCATCTACATTGTGCTGCTGCAAGCTCTGACAAAGAAGCTGGCCGACTCACCGATCTCATTGTGTGCTGCTGGTGGTGATGCCAACTTAAGCTGGAAGGGTGAGTGCACAATATATGTATATATATGTAGGGGAATATGTATATGTCAGGCTTGGCAGGAACGGGGCTACATTCATGTAAAGGCTTTGAGCAAAAAACACAAGGCGTGAAAACCTTGCAGCAGTTGAGTGTGAATATAATTTGACCATTTGCACAAATCTCATACTTTCTAGCGCAAGTCTTAGAAAGCAATTATCAGTGTGTTACTTTCAGTACTGCCTCGACAAACCACGCATGACTGGAAATCACAGCTCAAGGTGTCAGCTCATTTGGAGGCAGTTACCTAAGCAGTGGTTCATGAAGTAGGCTGCAAGTGAAACTCCTAACCACAGCAGGGCCCATGTTAAATACAAAGTACCTCAGAATAATTGATCCAAAGCAGGCTCGGCCCCACCAACCCCACCCACCACTCATTTGTATGTGCTCGTATTAGCATATGAAAGGTAAAAAGGACCACACCTCAGCCATTCACTATGAAAACTACTTAGACACAAGCCAAGTTGTGGTAGTTCTGCTAAAATAATTTAATCACACAGATTTTTCTTTTCCTCACATTCCGTCAAGCCAAGTCATGTTAGTTAGGAGCTGTGAGGATGAAGGTCTAGTTAGGTAAGAATACACCAGGCTCTTCAGACAGTTGCTCGAGAACAGTGTCCAGCACAAGTTGGTGATTCTCCTGATCAAACACATCTGTTCATCTGTTAATTGCCAGGTTTAGTGGGTGTGTTTGAGTAGGGAAACTACCAAACTGTGCTGGACACCGGCCCTCCAGGACCAGAAGTGTGTACCCCTGCTCAAGAGACTGGTGCAGTCCTTGACAGGATTAGCACTGGTGTAAAGGCGATTGGATGCTTAATCAAGTATTAGAGAAGAAATAAGGTATGTGAGCTTTTTGTCAGAGGAGCTAATGAAGTTATAGAGTATGAACATCATATTTTAATTATTTTATACATGGATCTTCAACAGTTGGTCTTATATAATGGAAACAGAGATAATTAAATTTTTTGAACAGCAGCATACATACAAAAATAGCTTTAAAAAAGCTTTTAGACAGACTGCCTACTTTTGTCTATTTATATAGATAGCAGTATGTCACATAATATCAAACACCACGTAAGTCTATTTGAGACTACTCAGCAAATGTAATGATGTAGGCGTGTGGTTTGATGCTTATTGGTAGGGGTTACGCCTTCATTACTTTTTAGCAACATAACCCTTGTAGCTCCTGTATAAAACTAAAGTAGCAAACTGTGGATGTCATGCACACTGAGTACTTTTAGAGAAGAAAAGTACTTTTCACCAAAAAAATTTGATTTTTTGGTGAAACTGTCACTTTTAAAGTGGTAAGTATTCACCAGTCTTTATCGTCTTTATCTTTTATCTATAAGAGCAGTAACTGCATCATTTTCACTTTCTCCTCTGAGCAATATGAGACACTCTGTTAGTACAGCAGTGCAGAGGGAGAAGGGGAACAGGTCAAGATTGAGAGCTCCGCTGTGCGTTACTCAGCCGGACACTTGATATCGGTAGTGTTGGGCTGAGTTCCAGTCACTGATTTGTCTCCTCACGATTTCTCTCTCTCTTCATCTCTACCTACATGCACACAGTGCCGGTGCTGGTGATGGCAGGCCTGTGTTGTGTGGGTTCCTGCTGCTTCGTGATCTTCTTCCGCACAGAGTACCGACGACTCCGCGCAGAGGCTGACGCAGCCGCAGACGCCTCAGCACAGACAGAGTCAGAGCGCACACTGAGACGAGACACAGACGCTGCAAACGCATAGAAACTTGACCTCTGACACAAAGCCACTGGACACACAGCAATACAGACCTCTGAGTCACTGTGTACTGTAATGATGCTTTTTGAAAAATGATTATGTCCCTGCTTGGCATTTAAAACATGCACTAGTATCATGTTTACAGCCTTTTCAGGTTTTCTTTTGTATGTTATGTTCTTATTTAATTTAGTTACTCGGTTACTAATTATTTAGTTACTACAAACGAAAGCCTCAGCATTCCAAGAAATATTTTAATGCGCCGTAAATCTTTATAACATTTTTTAATTTATAATATTTCAAATAACTTGTCTTCTAAGTGATTTAAATAATAATTGGAAAATACTGATTTTGAACCAGCCACGCTAAGCTTTTAACAGTAATGCCATTTACACACTAGCATTTTTGTGAGATGATGTACGTTATGGTACATTATCAATAGTTATATATGCTGCTTCTTTCTTCAACCCTTCCACAGGCAGCGCTACCCATGTCCTTAAACTAATTTACGATCCTGGTACATGTTGGTACTGTATCAGCAACATGCAGAATAAAAACTACGGGCACATTTAGGCTAAGTTTCAAATGTGTAACAATGGTAAAGCTGGATTACTGGCTGTGAAAGAATATTTCATATATATAAAATATATATAAATATAATATATATAAAAGAGTAATTGTGATATCCACTTAGTCATTTAATTATGCACTAACTATTCTCTTTAAGACACACTAGTTCTGCATCTAATCATTCCTTCTATTTATAAGAATATGCAACAAATGTGGTACTTGTACAATAAATCAACGAAAGAGTTCGGTTCAGAATTTGATCATACAGATTTGTTTTTAGAACAACTAACTTCATTAAAAATAAGTTAGCTGTCACAGTACCGTTTGAGTCGTTTTTGTTTTTCTGATTTTCAAACATAAGTACTATTGTTTTGTTATTTCAAACAGGTATAAATCAGTGTGCTGTGCACGTTTGGAGTATTCCTTAATTTAGCACACCTGATTCAGCTCATCAACTGATAATGAACTTGAGCTGGATCAGGTGGTTTGGGGGAGGGAGTAGTGAAACTGAAGTGCTTTGGGTGACCAGGAAGATTCAACTTTCACTTTTATAAACTGGTCTCCAGTAAAAACTAAAATGTAACTACTGTCTACAACCAAGACTGTCCACTTCAGAGCGTCTAGACCAGTGGTTCTCAATGGTGGTCCTGGCGTATCTCTGTCCTGCACACTGTAGTGTTCTGCCTGCTCCAATACCTGATTCAACTAATCAGCTCATTAACAAGCCCTTTCTGAGATGTGGATGAGCAGGAAAAGCCATCAAATGCACAGGGCAGGGATACTTCAGGACCAGGGCTGAGAACCACTGATCTAGAAAATACAATTATCAGGATCAGGCTTTGAGAATTCTGAAGGAGTAGAACAAAAACCAAAACACAACACACACGATTTTTAAAAAAAGGAAGACATTTCAGTGTATTTCTTTACAGTTCCAAAATACGTCATTACAGTGGCAGAAGAGCTTTCAAACTGCAGGCTGACACTCATAACTCATTTTAATCATTTCTCCATCAAAATGACATAAAATATATATAAAAATGCAGAGAGTCCTGACATTGGGCTTGCTGGAATAAAACCGAAAGCCACCTGTTGTCTACTTAACGTGGGTATTAAAAAAAAAATATATACTTGATAGCCAATACAGATCCATAATTAACAGGGTAAAAATGGAAAAATAAAAATTAAAAAAGGGACCAAAAAAACCAAAAAAACAAAAAACACACTACAAAAGTAATATCAATGGCCATTCAGTATTACTAATGAAGGGAAAACAACCATCCCCATCATATTTGGTGACTGTATCTAACACTTTGAATGCCACAAAACATACAAGCAAAAACTGAAAGTCTGAACTGGGCGATGGGCTTGGCTTAGCTGCTGTTGAGTCGATCAAAGCTGCAGGGCGCAGAACTGCTGGTACACAGCCAGGATGTGATGGTCCAATTCAGCCGTGAACAGCAGGTTCTCCAGAGTGCCCATGTACTGCTGGATGGTCACATGATGCTGATCACACAGAGAGGAAACAATCAATTAACAGAAATGCAAGAACTGCAGCCTTATTAGCAAAACATATCCACCAGAATCAATGCTTGTATTTGCAGTAAAGTTTTATGTTCCTATTACGTCTGTCTATATTATATATATAAAAAAAAACAAAAGCAGCCATTTAAACTGAGCAAAAAGGCTTATAATGTCCTTTGTCAACACAATTTTTTATATTAATAGATAAATAAAATGAGTACCATAAGGAAAATCTGCTGTAGTCGCTCAATGCAGTTCTTATACCAGGAGGTGTTGATGTCCACGCTTCCTGTCTCACAGCGAACCAAGTGCTCCGTCAACATCATGATGAAACGCTGAAAGAGAAAAAGCACAAATAAACAAAAATGGTAATACTGGGCATAAACCCAATGTCATCAGAAACCAGTCCTGCAAGCAAGAGCATCAATAGGTGGTAATGTGCATAGAATTCTACATGCTGAAGTTACAATCAAAGCCTTAATAAAACTGTCAGGATGTGGCCTTACCTGAAAAATGACAAGAAATAGGTTCTTCTGCTCACTCTGCGCTGACTCCACTTTCTCCTGCAGCCTCTCAATCTGCTCCTCCAGCTGACCATCCTCATCATCACTGTTCTTCTCCATGTCCTCTTCATCACCACTGTCCTTTTGCTGCAGATGGACACACACATTTAAAAATAAAAACTGAACTATACATTGACAACACATTGCTGAAACACCACATTTGCAAATCTGCACCAAAATGCAATTTCCAGTTCATGCTTCTGGATGTGCCAGAGTGCTGAACTCAAGGCAAACTGAACGGGCACGCTGCAACACACTGCATGCCAGTCAGTGCGAAGCAGCTTTATCACAGAGAATGTGGCACAATGAGAGCATTGATAATTACACTCAAGCTCATTTTGTCCTCTACTTATACAGGTTGAAATTCTTGTTCCATTTAATATCCGATAGTGACAGCGATAGTGATCACATTTGGTATCAGTTCAACTCTTCACAAAGTTGATGTTTTAAAGCTAAAAGGTACAAGGTGAAAAACACTAGACTAGAAACATTATTTGAGCATTTGTCTATCTTGGAGAGTGAAAGCCTCTCTCTATGTAACTGTCAAGGGATCTACTGTGGCTTTCTGTGGTCTTGTTCAGGGTTTAACTTAATGTAGTAGCAGGAAAATACTGCACAATGCATTGTGATGCTCAGAGAAATTGAACAGTGCAGGCACATTCACAGTGGGTGTTGGTGGCACTGTGTGTACCTCCAAAACAACGGCTTCTAATTTTTGTACCCTGTGACTTGGCCTTTAAGGAGTCTTTAAGGAAACTTTATGCAATTTATACCTTCTTGTGCTGCTGTTTCTCTAGCTTGTCCTTGGCCTCCTCCAGCTCCTTCTGGATCTTTTGAACATGTTTGTTCATCTTCCGAATGGTTGAGTGAAGAATCTCCCACATGTAAAGCCTGAAACATAACAAAAAAAAATGTTAGTCATGTTAAGGACCCATAGATCTAAGGAAACAATCTGAAGCTAAAACGGTGTTATAGAGACTTACCTGGTGAAATCATGAGCCATGTCAGAAGAAAAGATCCAGTTGGCCACAGCAGCACAGTCGACTATCTGAGTGCGAATCATCTTATCCACCAGCACTGCGATCATCTGAACAGGCAGACAACCCAGTCATTAATTTGAAAACAGAAGGCACAGTTGGCATATAATTCTTAAAGAGACTGATCACTGAAGAGAAAATAGACTCATGCAAAGAACAGCAAAACCCTAATATGGTAATGTGTCCTGATCTACTGTCTGAGCTTATATCAAAATAATTTATCCACTGATTTTGTATTGTGCCCATGATTTTCTGCATGCGTCTACATGCACCCAGCTCATGAGAAGGGCTGCAACAATTAATCAAAGTCGAAGATTTCAATTATGGAAGAAAATTAAAATTGTTTTTTTTTGTTGTTGTTCTGGGTTAGCAAACTGTGACTACAACTGCAGCTGCAAAGAGAAAACCAGCTGCTATCACAAACATTAGCAAAAGGGACAAAATTATACAGACCTATTGGCACCTAAGGCCAGCATAACCATTAAAATAACCAGAGCCTACGCAACCTGCACAACTAACAGGACAACAGTCCTCCTGCATCACAAATGGGTTTTTAAATACGCAATATGCAATGACATACAATCACTTTTGTTGTTCTGCATCATTTTCATTTTTAGCCCCTTCCAAAGCCGTAGATCATAAAACTAGTGCAGCGTAAGCTAAGCTAAAATCAGCACTCGGATGCTAATGTGCTAACAGAAACATATCCTCTGCTCTTTCAGTGTACAATAAATGTGTCATTAAATATTGGCTTAAAATATTGTTCAAATCTAAATATCTGTCCAGTGCTGATCTTTTTATATTGTATATATATTTATTCTTTTTATGCATCCCTGTTGGATTCCTCAGGTATGTGACTTACAACACCTGCATTATGGATATGCCCACTCAGGCACAACAGACCTTCTTATGTGTGTGAAGGGAAAATGTGCAGAGCTGACCTGTGGGTGCTTCCTCCAGGCCTCATAAACCACCTTGAGAATGTGCAGTTTCCCCTCATCACTTTCTGTCAGAGTCTTCAACACCTCATGGAACCTAAGAGAAGTGAGCAGACAAGAAGATAAAGAACGTCAGCAAGACAGTGAGAAAGCACATTGCTTTGAACATCAGTAGTCCACACAAACAAACTGCTTTTACAGATATTCTTCACTGGTTGGCCGTAACGGCACAGAGAGGGAGAGAATCCTGAGGGCTGCAGGCCAGCGTGGGGCTCTGGAACACTGCACTCACTTGGCAAGGGCACTGAAGGAGTGACTGAAGGACTTGGCAGCCAAGTGGAGCAGCGTCTGCAGGAACACGTCTATTTTCAGTGGGTTGAAGCCATCTCCCTCGTCTGGAGAGAGGGAAGAACTGGGTTTAAGAAACCAACAGCTTCCACGTGCCTCTTTACATTTCTCAGTGTTATACTTCAGTACAAGAAATTAGACCGCATTAAATTTAAGTTACATGTAAGTATAAATGCACAATATGTGAGCTACAACATCAATTTCAATGAACACACAAACATCCAAATTAAAGACTAGCTTCCAGCTACAGGCAAACGAAATAAGAAATCACGTTTATGAAGGAAGATAGAAGATTCAATACCATCATCATCGTCCTGGTTAGGATTGGGAACCTCTTTCAGCACAGCCAGAATCTCTTCATTTGAGGCACGGTTTTTGATTGCATTTGATACTGTTGTTGCCATAGCTAAGCCAGGTAAGGAAGCTGCAGCACAAACGAGAGAAATTACTATACACATACATATACACACACATTTTATTTATTTATTTATTTATATATATATATATATATATATATATATATATATATATATATATATATATATATATATATATGTATATATTTTTTTTTTTCTAGCTCTAGCACGCTTTATCTAAATAATCCACAATTAACAAGCACTGAGTCAAACTGGTTAAAGAATAAACAAAGATTTAGAATGAGTAGAACAAAGAATTGAAGCATTAGTGTTAGAATCAAAGAAATAAAATGAGCGGAACAAAACTTTTAGTGACCTCAGGTGGGGTCGTTTTCAGCCATCTGTGAAAATCTATTTGAAAAGTAGTGCTACACAGAAAAGTTCACGGCAGCATTGGAAGTGAATTTGCAAGCTACATGTATAGCTTATTAAACCTAGCATTGCATAAAGTAGACAGTGTCTAAACTAGAGTGGTCATCTCCGAAACAGTCTTGTAGCTGGGAATACTTACTGTTGCTCTCATCCTCATATTTATACTGGAACACTGGTTCAGCTGGGATTAAAGCAGAGAAACTAGCAGGCACAATATCTACTATCCGCTGGTGATAAGACAGCCTGTAATTGAAAAATAAAGGCCAAAGTGAAGCTAAATTACAATGAATGTGGTAAGCAAACTGATCTCTGATTAAGAAATAAAAAAAATATCTACCTCATGCATTTTTCCAACACCTCTTTGACAAATTTGGGTTTGGGTTTTTCAATGTCCACTGTTAAACAATCAGCCCTATAAAAAGAAATCAGTGCAAGATTGATTAAATGGGGCTTCAATGTGGTTGATGAACAACTTAACGATTAAAAATAAATAAATAAATAAACTTAAAGCCCAACTAAAAACTGCCACACCTGACAGTTTTCCTGCAATCAAGATTGTTCGAAAAACAGCAAGAATACTAAAGCACAACATGCAGATGCAGAAAAGCACAACTACGAGACAATATATTTTTACTGTGCTATGGTACTGTAGTCCTGTTATGGCCATGATGCTGTTCTATTCCTGCTCATAGCTTTTAATAAAACCTCCTCTTTTTTAATGACTGCCACCTGCTCAAATTATACAGGGCTAAATCATTGTTACTGACAGCAGCACAAAGCTTCATGTCATTATCATGCATTAAAATCACAATTTTAAACTACTAAAAACGAACCAAAAAGCATTCATCAACCTAGATGTGTGGACACTACAGCTTATGATTAAGTGGGTGCATAACGTTTGTAGATATAAAGTGGATCTCACCAGTCATCCCAGCTCCATCTGAACTGAAAGTTGCTCAGATGATGAGCGAACCAGCTGACGAATCTAAAACAGACATGTAAGTTAAGCTAAACTGACAAAAACGAAGCATGACATTAGTTTCAAACTAGTTTCAAATGTATACCCTCATTTAGTTTTTTTGCAGGCTATCTGGCATTAATTAGGGGCCATTTTCGTCTTTTTAAACTTTGTCCTTTATGCACATATTTAAGCTAAAAGTAGCCATACGATGGACAACAAAATAAACCTGCAGATAAATAATAGCTACAACATCATTACTGCCAATAACAGCATGATACTTAGGTAGTTTAGACCAGACTATGTGTGTCTTGCTCAGGAGAAGGAGACATTCACTCACCGGTCTACGCACGTTGTGTTCATCGTGTCCAGTCTCATGTACATCATCTCTGTGGCTTGCGCAAGCTGAAAGCAAGCTGAAGTTAAGGCTAGAACATCAGCAGTCCATACCTAATGAGTAGATTTTAATCTAAAACAAAAAACAACATACATAACTATGCAATATGTTACTACTTAGGAAAAAAAATCCTCTTGTCCCCTACGCTACATAACTACTCTTTTTTTTTCCCCTCCAAACATACAAAATCATGCAGAGGCTGACTGTAAACTTCTGCAATTTAAGCAGTGAAATAGCCCGGTAAGAAAGGATACAACTTGAGGTAACGATCCAGGCTGCAGCTTGCAGAGCTCAATCAGTAATGCTGTGTACATGACTTCAATATGAGGAGGAGAAGGCAGCTGGAATAATTCCCCAAAGATCACCTGAAACAAGACATAAAAGTCAACAGTGCTATTTCAAGGCAAACCACTGTCATAAAAATTATATGGAGATCTGCCTTAATTACTGCTGGGTGGGTCATGACAAGGGGTTCCGTAAGAGTTTGATGGAGAAAAGTTTGAATGGGCAAAGACGATCAGTCACAGCACTATACCAGTTCTCAAAAGTTTGGAAGCACTTGATTTTTTATTTAATTAATTTGACCTTTTTCAGCATAGATGGAAATACTGTAAGCTGAACACCAGAAGGGAACCCCAAACAGGTACGTGAAAAACACTATACACAAAAATAAACAACATTTTACTGCAGCCCTGTTCATCATTCTGGACACGTCTAAAATGTCTTTTTCCACTGCTTCCTTTAATTTGCTAAAATCAAGTTGCAGAGTAGTAGCATCTTAATAGAATCAGTTCATACCTTTATCTGAAACATTTTTTATTGCAAACAGTGATTCCAAACCTTGGAAATGTGAGTGCAAACACTTTAAACTCTAGCATACATTTCCACTGAGACCTACCTCAACGATATGGTAGTTTAGAGGAATCTTATTTTTGCCAGGATAGCTCAGCAACTGGGCAGCACTAACAACAAATAAAGACAAAAACAAAATATAGAACAGCAGATTTATGTGGACAGAAAGGACAATAGTATTTTCATTAAGACTTCATAACAATATTAAACAATAGTTTGTAGACAATGCTGAGTCCAGCACAACACTGACTATATAATACTTATGTACAGTGCAGAGTTCAGTTAGAGCTCACCAAGTCTTTCTCTCTCTCCAGTGAGATTTGATGATGCAGTGCAGGTTCTCTTCAATCACAAACCTCTCCACAGAGTGACTGCCAGGCATGACCGGTCCCTGAGACCAAACACAACAAACAGGCATCTGTATCTGACTTACCGAGTCACAGTGCTGCTGATGTTTCATATTTTAATGATAATAGCATGGAAGAGAGGGAGCTACTCCTTGATCATTAGCTTTAGATCAAGACACCTGTCAGAAACCTGAACAAAGATCACCCACCAAAAGGTGAAGGGGGAGGCATGAAATTTCATTGTCCTGTCAATGCTTAAAAGAAGCATAGGTCATGTACAATTCACATCACTGTACAAGAAAAAAAGAATAGAACTTCTTCAAAATAGCTTGGAATGAAGCCTCTTTTCATTAACTTACATTAAAAGAATATTTTTGCCTTCTTCTGTAAAGTTGCCATTTTGGAGACGCTTGTTTTTCTTCGGACAACAATGAAATACAGAATCGATGTGTACTGAAACAACACCCGAAAAGGTGTTCAAAACTCCCCCTCTAATTTACACGTTCTTTAGGGGAAACAGTATCAATGAAAGTTGCACCCCTTGACATTTTAAGGCCTTTCTAATGTTAGACGGTCAAGAGGGGTTCCCTGCTGGCCTCACCGTTGGCTGCAATGCAGCCCTGCTCAGGACGCACCTCAGGAGCATCAGTGTAGTCAAACATGCGAAAGACGACGTGCGGCATGGGGTAGACGGCATCATCAGAGTGGGCTGGTGGGGTGAAGGGGGGCAGATTGTGCTGCAGAGCCTCACACAGCACACTGTCAAAGGCAATGTATGGCCTCAGGATATGACGTTCTTGCCAGCGATCTTTCTTCAGTTTCTGCACTTGAGCCCACAGACAGTCCAGATACTAAGAGAGGATGAGACGAGGAGATTTAAAGTGAAACAAACAGGGTCCACTCCAAACCCTCAGGGTACATTCAGAAGTTCCTCATAAACACAATTACTGAGTTTACAACAAGAAAGTTGCACTCAAAGCTGGTTACTTAGGTTTATCTGGTGTGATGCATCACCATCCAGCAGATTCTCTGACACCCCATGAACACAGTACATATATGCGCTGGGCTGATCAGCTTAGTGTATTGTTCACTTAATACATTACCAGGTGCCGTGACCAACCAAAGGCAAATGACTGCTGTGACTATGTGAAAACTTTTCAACTCTACAAGCTAATAAGGGTTGCCTGAACCCACCATAAATCACATGCTGCCAATCTTTAGACACAATGGCCCGCATTCTTTAAAGCTGCGTAAAAAAGCAGTTTTGACAGCCTTTAAACAAGTACAAACTCTTCTGCGTGTAATTCATACAGATATGCAGAAGACAAAATGTATGAATACAAAACTGTCAGTGAAATGTGTGTGCACTCATTTTACAATCGAATTTGACCATACATAATTGATGAATAAGAGCCACTGTCCCCAAAAAGACATTAATTAGTATGTAAAGGTATATCGGTCTTAGGAAACTCACAGCAATTCTCCATCTGTAGTGAATAGTGGTGGTGCAAAAATGCAAGTCAGAATTGAACATAATTTATTATAATAATATCTAATAAAATGTGTTCAGCCATTTTCTCGCCATTTAAAAAATGTAACATGGAAAAAAAAGCTTGGCGCATATTTTCCCCCGCATATACCAAGACAATGTAAATGTGTAAATAGTCCCTCCAGTCTCATCTGCGCTCAGTGTACTTTTTTGTTAATAATTCTGAATCCTAGCAAAATAATTTGAGAAACCTGAGATCCACTGACTTCTTTCAAAAAGAACAGTAAGCAAATCAAGTTGTTCTGAGGTCAGAGATTTACACCCCTAGTGGAGTATTCACGGCTTCATAACACCGTGGCCAGAGGAGCGCTTCTCACCTCTTCCTGAGGGTGGGGTTTCTCTGCTGACCAAACCTGCAGCATCGGCACATGGATTTTCTGTCGTCTCCTGAAACACATCACACAAGATTTACAACCAGGATCTGGGGCCTGTCTCACAAAATAGGATTCTTGGCTTAGCCAGCTAACGTTAGGCTCAGTTTTTCTGCCTCACAAAGGTGGATCACTTTTTACCAGAATTCATCAGCATGTTAACTTATTGCCACTGCACACGTGACCTGCTCAACCACTCCTTGCGCATGAGGATTAGTCATAGCTTGCGTAACTAAACCTGGTGTACAGAAAGTTTTTATCCCCCTTTGTAAAGCAAGTCGACTGCAGTTTTATTTGTAAAATTCATAAGTTCATAAATTCATAATTGTCCTGAATGATGCGATATTATCAGTTGCCTTCATGTGTCCCTTCTGCTGAAAATAAAGAGTTCCAAAAACAAAAGGACTCACTTCAAATAGCCATCAATCTGGTTAAGAAGGCGATCCATCTCCACATCTTTCTTCTCATAAAGCTCTTTGCCAACCCAGGGCAAACAGGACAGCACAGCATACACATACCAGTCAGAGCGCACCTGCAGCAGGACACATACGTTAGCAAAGGTTTACTGCATCGCCTACAAAGTTTTACTGAACTTATATTACGTATGAGGTGAGCAGCATGCACTATCTGAATCTTCTAAACGTTTTTGCAGCATCACCTGTGGTATGTCCTCCTCCTGCGTGACACTAACAAAGTTTTCAAACATGGCGACCATGGAGGGAGCTGCAATGACATGGCAGTTCACCAAGTCGCTAAGGAAACGCACCTAGAAACGCAAAAGAGCAAGTGAGGAATCATGGAATCATTCCGGGAACACATACACAAAAAGAGTACCTTTAGTCTTGTTTACCATGCAGAACACATACCAAGTAAACGGCTTCAGAGTAGAGGTTTGACTTCAGTGTCTCTTTGAGCTGTCTGATCATGGCCTCCACAAACTCCCCTCCAAAGTTATAGTTCCGTGCATTTAAGAGGCCCACCAGTGTCGTATACACCGTTAGCTTCTCTGGTAAGAGCCGCGCCCTGCCAAGAGACATTTGATAGTCACATGCGGTTATTTGATTAATTTTGTGCTTTGCATTCAGGAGATGACACAAAACAAACAACTTACACAGCACACAAGATGCGCAGGATTTTGTTTTTGTAATTAGGCAGATCTGCTTCCAGGACGCCTGCAAGGCCTTCCAAATTACTCTCCAAGGAGGATGTGCTCTGGAAGCAGAAAAGACAAAAAATGCTCACGTAGGTCACCTTTACCACTAGAATCAAAAGGATAAGGGTGGCGTTCAAGTAATGACAAGATCAAACTCAATCAACACAGTGCAGCGGTGGGCAATGTGTCACAATACGCTTTCCTGAGCATATCGTGGATCATCAGTTCTTTAACAACACTGGCTCACCACGTTTCATTACAAAGTAAGCAATATTACACCTGTTTAACTGGACGTAGTGCAGTGTACAAAACATTCAATAAAATCACTAACTGTAGATTTATTATTATTATTGTTATTAATGACAACATTATCATTATTATTATTGTCTAGGTTTTTCATGATCCGTACGGATCCCCTCCCACCGTAGAATAATTGCCAATGTTTAAATACAATAGTGTGGAATACAATTTTACTATCACTGTTACTTTTTACAGTAATAATTCCCCGAAATCTTGATGCAGAGTTGCAGTGAAAAGATTCAGACAAAGCAACTGTGTGTCACATGAACAGAGCATGTTCAAAGCAGTCAACAATGACAGTCATGGCTGCTAGAAGAGCGGAAGAACTTGAGAAGCCTCCTGCATCATTTAAGTCACATGTACAGGAGCACTTTGGTTTCCCTGTAAAATAAATTGACAAAAGAAAGTGTGGGAACAAAACAGTTACGTAAAATAGGCACTGTGTCGTGAGAAAGCCTCGAGCAAGGTCACACATTTGAAGCACCATCATCCTGGTGTGTCAGCGATGGAACCAGGAGACATGACAACTACTTCTCACCGTGGCATTTAAGCAGCCCTCTGTTGCAAAATCAGACCAGGCTTAAGCTATTACTAAATCCACTGGGGCATTTATCACTGCAGGTATGAGGCCGTACTGTGTTATGGAACACAATGGGATTTAAAATGTGGTGAAAGTGCTCAAGTCATGCTACAAAATCCCCTCACACACCGACTTCTGTATGAAGACCGCCGAGATCTTTATGAAACATCAAAATCATAAAAGATTTGCTTTGCACATGTGATTAATTTAGAATTTTTACCATTAAAATGTTCATTTAGTATCCCAAAAGGGAATCTCAGTGAATGCGATGGACCGCCTTACAACAGCTGCTCATCAGCCACAAGATGAAACTCGACTTATGACATGTTGGAGCGCCATATTAAGCGGCAGGCAGCTGCACTCAAGACCCTCCCTAATCTGCAGAGCTACCTTCATAGATCCACCACACCAGATCCAAGGCTTACGTCCCTGTCTCACCTAGACCCCTAGACCCTGCCCTAAGGAATATACCGCAGTCTAGTCTTAGTCTATGCTGTTGCTATTATAATCACCATTTTTGAATAATAATGGCTTTAATTAAATGTTATCACCACAGTTCTATAAAATCTGAAAATAATTAGTTAGTTTAATAGATCAAGTAATTTATTCTGCAGGGTCAACCCACAAAGCCGACAGAGAGAGGAGGAGACTCTGAGGCATCTCCTCTGCAAAAGAAGTCGGCCATGGAGGAGTATTTCAGTGAGACCTCTACAAGCAAGGACACAAGCAAGACACCTGCCAACACCATCAAAAAGGAGGTTGCAATCTACAAAGCAGCAAGCGGACAGTGATCCACTGGCATTATAGAAAAGCAGAGTGTAAATATCCTCACACTGCTCTGATGGAAAGATACTACCTGGCACTTCAGTTCACAGCAAGAGGGTGTTCTCCACAGCAGGTGACTGCAAAGAGGTCTACCCCAGACAATAAAGACATCCTCATCTTTTGTTTCAAGTTATAAGCTCAGGTCTGCTTTGTTTCATTTCTTTTTTTGATGGTGTGGGCAAAGGTTATATTTTTAGTTTTATTCTCTATTGTTCAAAGGAAGAAAATATCATCATGCCTCATATTGCACTTTAATAATAAACAGAAAGCAATGTCTCCCTTTTTTTTTAATCTGGTCTGTGACTAAAAACTGTGATACGATCCAAACTGTGAGCTCTGTGATCTGTTGCACCCCCAAACATTATTATTATTAATAATATTATTATTATTATTATTTGTGACACAACATGTTCTATTTTGTCTGTTACGATTTATTAAATCTCAGAAGAACTGCATATTGGCGCCGTATCGTCCACCCCAAATACGGTGGCTTTGCTGTAATTTTAGACTACTCCACCACAGGAACAGAACAGCATTAAAGTTTTCTCCATCATCTTACTTTTTCTCCAACTCTGCATATCAGCGATTCGAGACGGTCCTCGATTTCAATTGGCTCAGACGTCCTCCTCCTTTTGTGAGGCTGCGCTCCTGGATCACAAGAGAAAAGCACAAAGTTTATATTCATCTCCAATTCGCTTGTGTGACAGTTCAGTAACACACTTTGCAAACAAGACCACAATGTGTGGCCCTGACTGACCCACAACATAGCTTACAAAAATACATAGTTTCAAGTAGAGCTGGGCAACATATCAATATTACCACTATCATGATAAAGCAGATCACAATGTGTCACAGTATATCTTTTTGAGGACATCGTGGAAATAACCAGTGCTGAAAAAAAATCACTTCCCAATTGGCATGCTTGACTAAAAGAGAGCACACGCAGTCCTGTTTAACTGGACTGAGTGCAGCACAGTGTGTGAAACGTTGAATGCAAATAACTGAATACACAGGTTGTGACAATATTTTTAAAATGTGGCACTACTTTATCTGATCATTTATAACGGGTATCAGAAAGTAAATATAGTGACGTATCATGTATCTAAAAAAAACCTCCTGAAATATCGTGATATTACATTTGGTCGTATCACCCACCTCTAGTTCGAGCACAGAACAAGACTAAAGTTAACAACAAAAACACAAAAACAATCAAACTGCACACTGTTGTGTTTCAGGTCGTGGGCTCGTGCAGTATATCTGAGTGCCTTTTAGCGGGTTGGCTTTCTCGGTTTGCAAATTTTTGTAAAGTTAATTCTCTCTGGATCCGGGATGCTGGAGCCACGAAGCTGTGCTCAGCTTCTTATTTGAATTTTCCCGTTCCACCTTAAACGGTGCAGCAGTTACGTTCTGACGCCTCAGGCGCTCCTCCATTTAAGGTGGAACGGGAAAATTCGAACAAGAAGCTGGAGAAAAAGAAAACCGACTTCAGCCTCGAGGGGAAACTAAACCAGCTCCATGCCGTGAACACTGTGGCTTGGAAACACTGTTAGCTATCGGCGCTGGTGAAGAGCCGATCCCCCGCCTTTCTCTCTGAAGCGGGGACGGTAGCGAGCTAACTGAGCAGCATGGCTGGCTCGCCTGAGGCGACGTTAACGTTAGCTACTCTGCTAGCTTAACTGCTAACTCCGTGATTTGGACTCAGTGTGCGGGTTTAGAGCAAGTCCTCTGCTGCTCTGTAAATAAACAGAGTACACGGGCACAGAGCGGGACACAGAGGAACTGTGAGCGCCGTCATATAGCTACTGACCCCGGCCTGCACCGTTGTCTCTGTAACGTTACTGAAGCGCTAACGGTAGCGGCGCTAACGGCCTCATACAAACAGACCGCTCACTCACCGTCATTCTCGTCGCTGTGCCTTCTTCTCGACATCCTGCCAGACCCGGTTATCAGTCCTCAGATGTACGCAAGCCTCCTGCGTTTGGTCTTCCTTCAGAATTATTCAACAAGAGCGATTTCAGGGTCAAAAGGCTAAAAGCGTATGAACGCTACAGCAGCTAGCCACCGCCACAGAAAATAAAAGGAGGGCGGGACTCCCTCCATACAAACATTTCCGGAGCAGCACCACAGAGTGTGCAGAGAGGAGAGTCGCCACTCAGTGACTCCTAGGTTTGCCAGACGCTAGAGGGCGCTCCCGAGTCCGAAAGGAGCATTAGAGCAAAATCACAGTTTGTAAATGCTTAAACATTTTTATATAAAAGAATGTATTAATTTCCTAAATACAGAACAGCATAAAACATTTTAACATCACTGTTATATTTTGGAGTGCTGTTGAACTTCGGTTTAGGGGTTTGTAACTACACCTCAGATAGGTTCAGAGAGCGTGAACCGCTTCATTCAGCCAGTCAGCTGCTCTGCTCGCCAGCCAACCAGCGCTCAGTAGCAGTAATGCTAGCGTCCTACTGCCCAAAATCTGTTTGCTGTAGAAAAAGGGAAAATACACAGGGATGTTTTATTAGCTCTTTTAGTGAAATACATCCTTCTAATTTCCAAAATTAAAGGAAAGTCCTAGGAAAGTAGTTAGAAACTGTTTTAACTTTACGTTTTTAGCCATTTAGCTCTATTCCACTCCATTCATTGAGGACTCGCTCGCGGGCGCCCTCTGGCGTTTAGCAGTCATATCTCTGGTATAACAGGGGGAATAGGAAGTGGCCAGGCTCTTATTAAACCGGCTCTGGTCCTCCTACACGCTGCATGGCGGAGAAAGGAGTTTCTTTTTTACTCCATTAATCTGTTTTTAGGTCTAAAGTGTATCTGGTTTTACGTCTACAAGTATGAGCTATGTGTGATAAGTTTATAAGGGTTTGCGCTGACTGAGTATGACTGGGATCATCGCCTGAGTGTCGCGGTTTAACAGTGTGTGCTTATGGCGAACTCCAACGTGACATTTAAACTCGTGTAACGTTACAGTATCATATACAGACAATAATGGATACTGGTGATTTGGCAGACAGTGTTCTTATTAACCTGGATGTTGAGGGTCTTACTCCTGAGACCCTCAAGCAAGAGAAGTCCGAGTTTTCAACAACTCGAAAGTGCTACTCCTACATAAAGAAGAGGGTGAGTTGTTTACTCACATTGGCTACACGTTTAAAAAGGTGTTTATTCAGCTGTTATTTGGTAAAGACAAAGGTTATATTTAGAACCATGAGTTCTATATAGAACCATTTCATGCTTCAGTGTTTTTTTGCATTGAGAAATGGTTCTGCAGATTGTTGGAGAATGTGCTGTAGATGGCTCTATATAAAGTCTTTATATAAAAATGGTTCTATGTAGCACTAAAAAGTTTTCTGTTGTCACAAGCTTGACATCCTAACGGTAGAAGAACCCTTTTTGGTGCTATATAGAACCATTTTCAAAAAAGGTTCTGTATAGAACCACATGCAACACATTCTCTGCAACACTGAAGCATGAACTGGTTCTAAATAGAACCTTTGCCTTTACTGAAGAACCTTTGAAGAACCATCTTTTTTAAGTGTGTAAGACTTAAATATCAGTTGTGTAATCAAGGCCGTCTCAGACCCCCATAATCATAAGATTCTAAAAAACAAGCGAAACCTAATTCTTGAGCAGGAGAAAGTGTAATAAATGATATGGGAAACACAAAAATTACCTGTATAAAGAAGAAATATGTACGTTTACAAATAAGATCACTAAAAAATAACTAAAGAGATGGGAAACAATGTCTTTATGTGGCATGAGCATTGTTTCTGCTGGTGTACTGTAGGATAATATCTGAATTTTATTCATTTTATTGCATTTGTAACCCTCTACACATAAACGTTTTATGTCTCTGTAATGCTAATCCAGGTAGATGTTGGTACATGTCCACATTTTTTTTTTTTTACATTACACATTATACATTTACATTATAAGTGTTTATGTACCTCTGTCAGCTGAAATGTACATATAAAAATATCAGATATCAGCATCGGCCCGTGATTCCCATGCTGCTGCATGCCTGATAATAAGCAGACGTCTTAATAAGGTATCTTTTGGATGATGTCATTATTGACACAAGCAATATATAAAAGCATATTCACAGGGTCTCTTGTGGCTCAGCTTGTACCGCTTTCAGTATTGAACATCACTGTGTATAATTATCTCATTATTTTCAACTGCCTGCTGTCTGTTGTAGACCTTTGCAACATATGTGGCATCCAAAAAGCTCCCGACGGCTCCCTCAGATGCCTCAACGCTTTGGCAGTGCTGTGAGGAGACCTTCTCGGACCCTTGCTCCATCCACAAACATGTCTCAAACCTCCATGCTGATGAGATTGAGCAGCTCACCACTGCGGCCCTGGATCTAATGCTCAGCCAAAGTGAGGGTGAAAAAGACGAGAATGAGAGTCAGTCAAAGGATACGTCCTCTTGGATACCTGATACAAGCCATGTCTCAGAGGAGGAGCTCAGCAAGTGAGTATCATCTTTTCTCAGCTTTTACTGACTCCTCTGTGTTCCATAACCTTTATTCTGTGATACTGTTTATTATGTGATAAACGAAATCCATTACATATATGGATTATATGATACGCTTCATCTATAGAGAACACACCTCTGCGCATTTTAATGCACAACTACTGTTGTTTTTTTGCTGAATTTACTAATTTGAAAAAAAAAACATGAAATGTGGCCCGTGCAAACGTTATGGCACATTTTATATTTTAGCTTTTTCCAATATGTTAAATTCAGCAAATAAACAGAAATCATGCACTAAAATGTGCAGAAATGCCATATTTAAGTTTGTTCTGTAGAGGATGAACTTCTTTTCATTTAGAAAATCAGAAAAACATGTAATTTGCATACAAAACTTTTGCATATGCCTGCAAATAATTGCAGTTAGCAATTTAAATGTTAACTGTGACAGTTTCCCAAACCCAGATTAAGCCTAAACCTACACTAAAACAAATTTCCTGTTTACCACTGGCACTGCAATTTAGGCCAAGATTAGGCTTAATCCCTGTCTGGGAAACTGACCTCTGTATCATCATAGGACCCATGATTTATCTCACTATATATGCATATTCTGCTTTGTTCCATTTACATGTATTTGCCTCAACTCAAATGATAAAAAAGAATAACAGCTGATGTATGATAGAAAAAAATGTATTGCTCTAATAAAGGTAGTATTAATCTTAGTATAGCAACAGTATTTCTTGTATGTGTCTAGACCACTCCCAAATAAGAAAATTCTTGAAAGTGTTCTGTAATGATCTTTCATAATCTATAATTTTTTGACCACTTCCAGAGGCCCAGGTGAAGTCCTCCTGTATTACTACTATTGCCAGATACAAGACCCTAAGCTCATTTGTGCTTGGCAGAGTGAGCTGTGTTCAAAGCTTCACCTCACTGGCAAGGTAAGTGCAGTGCTCTCCTCGATGATGAGAATCCACAGAGGAATGTTTCAGTATGTCTTCACACTGCATTGTTCTCCTACAGGTACGTGTGGCCACTGAGGGCATTAATGGAACAGTTGGTGGCACCAAAACAGGCACAAGCCTTTACATCAAGGCAATGCTGTCACATCCGATTTTCAAAGTGATGCAAGTGGAGGATTTTAAGGTAATCTATCGCTAACACTAACCAGTGTTAGTCATTTTTTATTTAAAGTATCTATTTATGTAATGTGGCGTAATGTACAAAAGTATGTGTTTGTGTTTTTTTTCTTTAGACCAGTGAAGGCAGTGCAGAGTGCTTTCATGAACTTAAGGTTGGAGTCTATAAAGAAATTGTCCCAATGGGTGTGGACCCAGATATCATCTCCTACACATTAGCAGGTAATTAATAACAATTTGATATGGTTGCAAAATAATTGCTCTGTATTAGCTTTATTAATGGATTTATACACCCAGCAACATAAAGATATTAAGTAAGAAGTAACTCACTGTTAAAGGAACACATTTGGAACCTGAGGAATTTCACAAACAAGTGCAGTCTCTACTTGAAGATGGTTCCTCAAAGAGTGACACAGTACTGCTGGACTGCAGAAACTTCTACGAGAGTAAAATTGTAAGTCTTTTCTTCTTAGTGCAGAGTAATTTATTTTGTACAGGTCAAAAGCTGAATCAGTCTTGTACAATTTATCTTCAGGGCCAATTTAGGAAGTGTTTGGCACCCGACATCCGCAAATTCAGCTACTTTCCTGACTATGTGGACAAGAACCTGGACCTTTTCCGCAACAAAAAGGTTCTTATGTATTGCACCGGGGGTATACGATGTGAACGAGGGTCTGCCTATCTTCGTTCAAAAGTGGGTTTTTATTAAACCTCCACTATAGCATGAACATACAGTGACATTTAGTGTCATCATTTAATACTTAACAATTGACATATTTAATTCTGCAGAACGTATGTAAGGAAGTATATCAGCTGAAGGGTGGCATTCACAAGTACCTGGAGCGGTTCCCTGAGGGCTTCTACCGCGGCAAACTCTTTGTGTTTGATGAACGCTATGCAATCTCATTCAACAGTGACATCATCTCAGGTAATGTATATGAATACACACTACAACCGGCAGTATAAAAATTAGAATGCAATTGCACAATCAGAATTGGCTCAGATCGGAATCAGCCTATTTTTGCACCATGAAGCAAGGAAGTGCACTTGCACTGCATTTGTATGCTTCTGTTACAAATTGTTACAAATCGTTTCAGGTTTTTAAACTGATTACTGATTTTTTTGGGTCAAGAAATAAAATGCCAGTTTGGCCCAAATAATGTCATGTTGCAAATTAGGCTAACAGAAAGTACTGGAAATGTGCTCATATACACAGTGTGAGTTTCGGGTATCAAAAAGACAAATAAAAATCAGGCAAAGATTAGCGGTAAAGAAATCAGAATCAGCCATAATATTCTTGATTGGTGAACCTCTACTATTAATAAAATTCAGTATCACATAGCCTTTGATAGTTTGCGTTAATAAAGGTAGTGAATCTGTGTGTCTTGAGTATTGGTGCTCAAGCTAAAAGAATGTTTTACAAACCTGGCATTGCTTCTTTTGTTTGGACTGTTTTGTTCTGTTCTCCTGCTCTTAAAATTAAAACAGAGGAAATCTTCTGATCGTACGGTAAGCGCAAACCAGGCACAAAGCAAATTTTCTGTGAGGAAACTTGCTATTTATTTAGTTTTTATGTATTTTAACTGTTGTTTTAGAACAATCTGAAGCGTCCAGTAAAATACACGCATTGCAGTTAGTCAGTTCATATGTAAAGAGTACAAATTTTCAAAAACTAAAAAAACCAACTGCATTACAATGCAGACACTATTTTATGAAATAAATTAATATTTATCTGTAAACACAACTAAAACAAAAATATTGTCACAATGACACCATATTGGTTTTGACAATGCGCTGCCCAGCACTTCATACAGACTTGTATTAAATATGCTATTGGTATTAACTAGTGTGCACTTCACCTATCTACAGACTGTAGGTACTGTGGAGCCCCTTGGGACCAGTATCAGCTGTGCTCTACAGACTTCTGCTGCCAGCTGGTCTTATCATGCCCCTCTTGCAGGCAGAAGGGCCTTACAGCCTGCTGCCCTGTGTGCCAAGCCAAAGAGCAGATGACCAGTTACAGCCTCTCACACAAAGAGGAGTGTGAGTGTACTGACTCCCGGCCCAGGATCCCTAATGACACTTTATGATGGCTATTTGTTGAGGCCTCCTGATGTCCAGAAGACCACATTGTATGAAGAATGCATGGTTTTAAAAGAACAATCTGTATTTCTGTAAGGACAAAGTTTCATAGTTCAGATTTTACTGTCAAATTCAAATCAAGTTCCAAAGTCTGTCACTTTAGAACACCAGACTGGCCGACTCAAAACTGTGTTCTGTCTGTCTGGTTTGCCATGGACTCAATTCCAAGATTGTGCAGTTGGAACATGAATGACCTTTTGATCAAGATCTGCTGTAAAACTGCAATAAATTTTAATCTCCCAATCTTTATTTATAGGTACTCAGGTACATAAATACAAATGTAAGGACAAGGAAATTCATCACACAATCACAAGGTAAATGTACCATTCAGTGTACAAGACAAAAGCCTCAACTACAGAAAGACAGAACTTCATGTTTGGTTTGCTCATTACTTCCTTCACAAGATGACCACATAAATCTATACATCAGTGTGTCTTACATACATAAGCATATGGTTTCATTATTATAGTCAGAACTATACATAAGGCCTCAGGAATGAGAAATGTTCCCTTTGTGAGAAAATGAAGATTTTAACTTTTTGGCATTGTACAAGCATCTGTAAAGAGAAATAAAAACATGGTCAATACATGTTTATTGACCAAATCATGGTTAAAAATGGGTTTAGTGAATTGTGAAAGGTATAACGTGCAACTGAAGATTCACCTGCTCTTGGAGTGACTAGGCCCGTTAGCGCAGACTAACCCCAATGAAAATACAGGTACCAGATGGTGTCATTGCTCAGCACTGGCCCGAACAACGGGTTCAGCTGTGCCAGAATAGCAATCAGCCAGCTAAACAGGCAGAAAAGCATGAGGTTACAACAAATACTTAACTTTCTAACAACTAGCTGTCATGCATGCATTCCACCAGGCTCTATACTTGCAAAGAGCATACAATTTCTAACTGTGTATTTGGGCCAGTGACATGACATGCATTTATGTCCAAGTCCATTATTTTCCTAGGAAATAACTTAATAAATACTTCTGTAAAGCACCTTTGTCCACATTGTCAGTGCATCAAAATAAAATTAGGCATCTAAGGTATTATTAAGAAAGTATTCAGACCCTTGAGGTTGTGCACTTTTTTAAAATTTTGAATGGATATAATTGCAATTTTTACCCAACAATCTATACTTATTCAGCCATAATAAAGTGAAAACATTTTTAGAGCTTTTAGAAAATTAATTAAAAATCAAACACTGAACTCTTTTCTTCACAAGAGTATTCAGACCCTTTATTCAATTCTTTGGCAGCAATTACAGCTGCAGTCTTCTTGAATATGTCTCTACAAGCTTTGCACACCTGGATTTGGCCAGGTTATCCCATTCTTTATGGAAAATCCAGCCAGACAGCGAACTCTAGGAAGGTTCAAGGTTGTGCCAAGCTTATTCTATTTCAAAATTATTGAGGCCACTGTGGTTCTGGGAACACTCAAAGCCTTAGTTATTGTTTTAAAACATTAAAACAAACATTACTTGCTCTGATCTATGCCTCGCCACAGTTTCATTGTGGAGATCCACAGTTAGTTCTTTGGAACTAACAGCTTTTATCTTAACTGTACAGTGTGGGCCCTTATAGAACCAGGTGTGTGCCTTTCCCAAACTATGTCCAATCAATTCAAATTGCAACAGATGGAGTTCTAGATATATCTTATATGACCACAATTTGGAGAGCCACAGCAAAGGGTCTGAATACTTTTGTGAATAAGAGATTTCAGGTTTTTGATTTTTCATTCATTTTGTAAAACTAAAAACATCATGTCATTATGGGTGATGGCTGAAAATGTAGATTGATGGCTTAAAAGCAAGCATGTATCTATTCAAAATCAAATCCAGAACACAGTAAAGAGTGCTAAAAAGTCAAAGGGACTGAATACTTTCTGAATCCACTGTATGCATCCCAAAGTCTAAAATGTCAGTCTGTGTAACCATATATTTCTATATATGTAATATATAATTTATTAAACTATTAAGATGCATAATTAATCATATAAAATTGTGTAAAAAAATGTGTGGCATGATTTTTGTTTGAAGCCCTTAAAATAGTAACAATAATACACCAGTAATAATAGTAAAATAGGCCAACTTTAAAGTATTTAACTCATTTAAAAACTTTGGTCTATCAGTACTGATTTCCTCAAATGTCACATTGCACAACCAATAACATACTTTTATTCCAACAAGCTTTTAAGAAAGAGTGGGCAGGATATTGCATCATAAAGGAGACACCAAGTGACCTTCATGGTGCAATGCCAAGAACAGAAGCCCATTGAAAAAAAAGAGTCATTTTTAAGTCATGGTTAGACGCTACCACACAGGTTAGGTGTGACCCCATGAAAATGTATTAGTTATAATAACAGTTATTTATTTATTTTTTTTTAGTTCAAGGACAGGTGAGGTCTATACAGGTGTCCAAATACAAAGGCATTTTCAGTAGTGGTAAATAACTTTATTATTGTCTAGTTGTGCCACCTGACATTTTCTGGGTTGTGAAATGGATTTTGTTTTAAAATGAATTTGTACTATTATTAAAGCTGTCACACAAACAGCAATACATTGAATAGATTCTTGCAGATACAAAAACGCTTGTCATTTTCATTTTAATAGTCTTTTTTAATGATCAATCTGAAAGGCTTATTTGTCAGTTACCTATATATAACTGTGACTGATCTTATTTATCACCGCGACCCAGAAGGATAAGCGTTTTAGAAGATGTATGTATGTATGATCTTATTTATCTTTTAAATAACAGATCTTAAACCTGAAAACCACCATGTGGAAATGAGGAACGATGGTGTGAAATGTATGCACTGCCTCCTTGTGGTTACTGTGGCCATGAAACATTACTCCAACTCTGCATTTACATGATAAATAATGCACAATGAGTGTGCATTCATTTCAAGATACGCACCACTTTGTACACATGCCCAGGTTCGTGTGCACCACAGACTATTTCACAGTCCTGACCTGAGGTACACTGTCGGTTAACTCTCTGTGTACTGCATTGACTGCAAATGTGCATTTCTTTGCTCTGATCAATAGTCATTAAATGTCCAATACCCAAAGGCTGTGTCTGACTTTCAGCTAACATGTAACATAGCACAACTGTAATCCAATGAGGATGAGAAATCATTTACAATTCTGTGTAAAGTAGAGCAACTAGACCAGTTATACTCACAACAGGTAGCAGCAAACTGCAGTTAGTACCAGCATGGTCACAATAACTCTGGGGTCAAAGGAACAAACAAAGCACATTAATTAAGTGAACCAAAATAATAAAAACAGTAAAAATGATCACCTGAAATAAAACATTAAATTCAAAGGCTTCTGAAGCTGAATACTTGAGTGTCATTTGACTGTCACATGATTCATGATGCATAGCTAGTCCTGTAAGGGGAAGCAGACACAAGCTGATTAATCTCTGCATGCAGCCTGGAATTTCCACTCCTTTACTTAACACTGACAGTATGAATTCTACAGTGGGTATTGCTGTTAATAACAGCATCCACCAAATTACTAATTTTTGTTACGCATTTTAGTTGACACACTTTAAACAATGTATTTTGTATTTTATTATAATTGGTTACAATGTCATTCAGAGTGGTTTGGTGTGAGATGCTTCATTCTAAAGAAAAACTCACAGTGGTAGTGACAGGAACCAGACCTCTGAAGAGTTTAATGCCTCTAAAAGCTCCCTCACAGAAGGTTTTTAAGTGATATGGTTATGAATATGCTGTCTGATGTCTGATGCATTGTTGTACAGTAGCTGTGCGCACTAATTTTGGTCTAAAACATATTTTAATCCAATCTTGGAGGAGGGATGTTCTAAGCCAAAACAGCCCCCCAAAAAAAATATTTTCTCAGATTTTGCTCTATTTTACCATAATCAACATTACATTAAACAAACTCAAAAGACACATGTAGGTTCACTGGTGGTTTTGGACAGGAAAAAAAAGGCTGTATTTGTGTTCTGGACATTGGGACCCCCGGTTCCTATCACCACCACAGGTCCCATCACCAAAATAAATCTGTGTTGGTAAGTTTCTATACAAATGAATTATTTCACATCACATAACTCTGAATTACTTTGTTTAAATCTTAACCACTGAATTATGGAGAAAGTTTAAAAAATAGGTGGGATCCCCCTTTAACTGTCACTATCTGACATTTATATTTAATGTAACCTGCATCATCTGACTGTCAGCCCCTTGAGCCTGTTGCTACCTTGCCATTAATTATTTAAAGTTTTAGATAGAGACGCTTCTTTTATACACAGCATTCTTTACACCGAGCGTAAGACATTTTAACATAGGTTATAACTTTCTGAAGTGACCAAGGACTTCTTTTTAAAGCAACATCAACGAGCAACAAAACTTTTCTTGCTTTAGCCTGCGATGCTAATACAAACTTACCCCCGATTCGGTCCTTTAGGGACAAATATCGGCAGCACTCCTCCAACAATGCCCCAAAACACGGTCATTACACAGATTGAAATCACAAACGACAGCTCCGCCATAGCTAAAAGTAATTTACTGTAGTTGTAAAGTAAAACTAGTTTAAGGGACGCGTTGCCAACTTCTGTCCCTGGATCCACAAACTTGACAACAGCAGCAGAAGGCGGCGATCATGTGACCTGCTGCAGGCGGGCTCCGCTAGGGGGCGCGGATTGATACTGAAGGACCGATACCAACGATTCTGACTTTGCTTTTTGAGAATCGATTTTCACATGAAAACATCAACACCAAGTGCTTTCTTTCAAAGACAGAATACCTGCCTTTTGATTAAACTTGACATGTCTTTAATACTGGAAGGCGTGTGGAGGGTGCGTTATAAATTATATGTAGGAACTACTTTTCCTTCCGCCTTCTCGTCTGCCCCTCCACATCACGATATGGAGTGAATGTTCTAATAGATCAGGGGTGTCAAAAATCTCAACAAATCCGTGGGCCAGAGAAAAAATGCTTTTGAGCTGTAACCCCAAACTGGCCACTGTTTATTAAAAATATGCAAAAACATAAGCAGTGAAATATAAGCACTTGTAGTAGACCTTTAAATAGTACATGGATACTTGAAATGTTCAAAATTTAAATGTCTCCAGTAGCTCGGTCTTTTAAACCTATTCGTTTGCAGTAGACACCGGGCATCCTTTCTTTGCTGCAAGTTCATTTATACGCTTCTGAGCTGACGTCACGTGTGTATATTGGTTGAACTGCAGCTGAAATGCAGCAGGTGTGTTTGGTGATATGACTGGTGTGGAATCGCTGTCCCATATTGTTGTTGGGGTAGGAGAGTAGCGAACATTACGTTGCAGTGCATGCTGGGGACTGTAGTGCAGCGCATTGTGAAACGGGCTAATATGAATAGAAAATCAAAATGCCTTTACGGGTCTGATTTGTCCCACGGGCCTTGTGTTTGACACAGGGGTAATAGATGATGGAACTACATCACTGCACTAAACTGTCAGTTTATGCGTCAGTTTAGTACCCAAAGGCTTTTACACATGTCCACATTTTTACTGGTTTTCAATGTAGAAATCAGAAACAAATGACCCGGTTCAGATGTACTGTAAGCCTTTTATAACACTGGTATGAGGATGTGAGTCATATTACTTATTAGAGCAAAAAAAAAAACAACAAAAAAAAAACATTTAAATTAACTCACAGGCTTTTTCACACATTTAAGATTCTGAATGTAAACAATTTGAACTATTTTTAAATTACATTTTCTCAAAACGTAAAACCAAATACTTCCAAGAGTAATAACCTCTTACTTCAGATACACCTATCAAACAGGGACATTGTTGGTTTACAATTACTGTCTATAGCTTATTTGTGTCTACACAATTTATCAGTCCACCCCTACCCTGTCCATCAATGGTAAAGGACCACAACAGGACCACCACTGACCAGACACACATGCATGATGGACCATTCAGCACAGCAATGTACCCAGTAAGTTAGCAACTCCGCATATACGTTTTTCTTTAAAGCAGAATTGTCATACAGCTGTAATAACAATTTACTCAATTCCAGTCCGGTCTGCTGAACTATAGCAGGCACTAATAAAGCATTTGGTAAAAATAAGAATGAAAGCATCTTGATACTGACAAATGAATAAGACCATAAACACCCACACAATGATCCAAACTACATGAGATTTTGATTTTACAGTCTTTTATTGTTAGCAAAAGATAATGTTCACTCTTGCATTTTCTCAATGGTCTCCTCCTTGTATTTGCCCTTCTCCTTGATATCTTGCCGAGACTTGGCTTTGCGCTCCAGGATCTTTTTGCGATCCTTGTCGAGCTTCAGCCTGGTAATCACGACCTGGTGAACACAAACAAAACAATGATTTACATTTGCACAAAACAACCTGTACAAAAAAAAATTAAAAAACGCACTTTACATTTCACATCACTAACTCTGTAGAAGCTTCTTCATGCTACAAAGCATTTGGGAAACCAAGAAGTTGGCAAAAATAAATTGTCTTGATGTAAGAATGCACCAAAGAGTAAGTAAGCAGGACTGGCAGTGTTCATCAACACTCTGGCTTTAAAAGAAAAGCACAGCCGCCAGCAATACACCATTAGGGAAACAGCTCAAAACACATTTTCAAACAAACCGCAACTTAAAATAAATAAGTAAAAAGGTATGCAACTGAAATTAAATTCTGGTGTTTAACTACCTAACCTGAATTACACTGAATTGGTGATAAACTGCTGCACCATACAGTCATATGCAAAAGTTTGGACACCTTTGGACAAAAACATGTTTTCACTTAAACAAGTCATCACATTCTCTACAGAGGCACAATTACTGTTTATTTACTGAACTTAATATACTGGGGTAGTTTATTTTTGCCCAATACATAATCAAATAAAAATGTGCACTAAAATTTAAGACATTTAAGTTTGTTCTCTGTAGAGAATGTTTCAACTTATTTTCACTAGTTCACATGTTAAATTGACCAAGTGTTCAAATTTTTTGCGTACAACTGTACGGTAAAGATAATCTGAATTCTACAGCCCTGTCTGTATAAGAGCTTCTGTATATCAAGCTCTCACAATAACAAATTTAAAAGGCAAAGCAAATATCTGATCAGTTTCAGTCTACACCAACATTCAGAATATGCAAAAAACTCAGCCAACTAGTACGTCCTGCCTGTATTTGAAAGAAAAACAGAATTTATCATCTGTGTCATCGCACTACAGGCCTCTACCACAACAGGCACCATCCAAACAAACTAACCCGCATGTACAATATATCTGATATTTTAGAGACCAACACTTAGATCTCTACAATGACTCAAATGGACTTTTGTGCTTATCATGTGGCGTGATGACTGCTTTGTCACCAAAACTAACATGAGCAAGAATTAAAAAAAAAAAAAAAGCGCCTTTTTTTTTTAACAGCAGCAAATCAAAAACATGGCTAAACTTATGTGCATGTTTCACCTTGTACACTCAGCGTGCTGGTCTGCATGTAAATGGGACTATAAACTAGTTCTTTAAACATTTCTTAAACATCTTGGTTCAGTTAAAGCCAGAGACATCACAAAGAGCCTACAGTTTCAGAGGCGAGTGTTTCCTATTATAATCTAGTACTGCAAATCTGCCTATTCTACTGACTTGATCCAACCAATAAAGAAAATCCAGAAGGATCCTGAGTAAGTGGAAGACCAGTTATGAAAAATGAGACCATCAGTGGTCGTGTGATTTCTTTACAAAAAACACTGCACACCCAGATTTTTGATCCTACCAAAACATAACATCTGACATTCAGCAATACAATCAACCAAGCTCCAATCTCAGTATCTTATGTCTAATAAAACTGAGCAAATGAGGACCAGGACACTGTTGAATTTTCTCTGTGACACACAAAATACGGCACAGCATTCTGTTTTTTTCTTAACCCCACTTGTTGAGCAGGGAATGAACGTTATCTGCTATGTTAGTTAATGTAGGCTGCAAAACATTTCTGGTAAATTTAACAAGTTCTTTATTTTAGGCTTGTGTGTTATCAATTAAATGCCAGCTAATGTGGGTTAGACAGTGATGAGAAATTTACAAAATTACATCTCTTTTTGGCTTTCTGAATTACACAGCAACTAGCATTCACACTGTGCAAAAGAAAGGAAAAATGAAGCAGTCTCCAGTCCACGAAAGACGCTTGCTAGCAGATTCTCAATTGTGCAGCCTGAGCAAAACTGTCATGAGACTGGTTTCTATGGGAAGCAAATTCAGCCAAAAAAGAAATTAAAATTAAAACAAAAACAAAATGTAAATGCCAACCTCTTTTTGCCATTTCTTTTTCCAAACATCTGTGCAAATATCCTGCCAAAATTAAAAAATGAAATACCTAAATTTTGCAATTTAATTTTTCACATGAGCACGAGCCATTAGTGACAAAAAATACATTTAAAACAGCTGTCATTTCATTTTAGTACTTATTCTGGTATTTCATGGCCAAATCTAAAATGAAAAAGCTAATAGTGAAAAGAAAATCCAAGCTTCACTTTGGCTTTGTCTTTCTTCATGAAACGCATAATACATGTCAAAACTAAAATCAAAATGCAGTGTTTACATTCTTATTTATTTTTCGTAGCAATAGGCTGCATATCTGACAAAATGAAAAATAAACAGCAAAAACAGCAAAGTCACAGTTTGCGATTCAGTTTGACGTGGACGCGCTTAAAGTGTCCAAATAAAAAGGCAAATACAAACGAACATCGGCGCCATCTGCTGGAGATTTACTTTTCATTTGCTACTTTGCTTTTTCGTTTTCAAATTGACCAACATGAAATGTGTGTTAATCAGCCCTACGCGGGGCTACAGGGTAAATTTTACAACGCAGTACTGGTCAAGCATATACTGGTTTGTTCTGAGGCCATTTGGTCTGATGTTCAGTTACACCGGATCTGAGACATGACTGTTTTTTCCTGAGTGGTTTAGTCCGAGGAATGAGGCCATTCTGACTCTGAGGTCTAAGGATGCCCTAAATTGTACCCCTGAGCCCGCCTAGTGCTAATTAACATATATTTGCATGTTGGTCAATTTGAAAAAGAAAAAGCAAAGTGGCAAATGAAAAGTAAACCTCCAGCAGGTGGCGCCGATGTCCGTTTGCATTTGCCTTTTTATTGACACGTCCACGCCGAAAACTGAACTGCAAACTGTCACTTTGCTGGCGATTTATCCATTTTGCATTTTCATTTTGTTAGATATGCAGCCTATTGCAACGAAAAAGAAATAAGACCGTAGACATTGCACTTTGATTAGTTTCGTTACGCATTCTGCATTTCATGAAGAAAAGGCAAAGCCAAAGTAAAGCTTGGATTTTCTTTTCTCTATTAGCTTTTTCATTTTAGATATGACCATGAAACACCAGAATAAGTACTAAAATGAAATGACATGGCAGTTTTAAATTTATTTTTATTTTATGTAGGTATTTCATTTCATTTTCAATTTTAGCAGGATACTTGCACAGATGTTTGGAAAAAGTAATGGCAAAAAGGTTTGCATTTACATTTTATTGTTTTAATTTTATTTTTTTTTTGGCCAGATTTGCCTCCAATAGGTTTCAAAGTAGCTGAATAATTTTTACAACAAAAATGGGATTAGTGCAGTGGCAAACTTCTCGTCTAGGATTTTACTTCGCTGGATTACAGGAGTGTAAGGCTGATCAATGTTACATAGCCCCAGTTATCTAGTTTAGCTCCTTTACTGCTAGTGGTCACACTGACCAGACTTTAAGTGACAGATCATCCACCCTAAAATATCCATAACCGCTCTCTACTTTCAGAGCTAAACTGAAAACTTTTTATTCAACACTGAGTCCCTATCCCACAGTATCTCCTGTATGATGCAGTTTTTCTACGGTTGTCATTACACTTTGATAGTAACCTTGAGTTTGAGAAAGGCACAATAGTATGGACTAAAGCTTCCCTGTCATCAGACTAAACACTACAGCAACACTAATTTAACAGATCACAATCATCCTTAAGCATCGATCTCGTACCTTGCTAGGGTGGATGCCAACATGGACTGTGGTGCCATTGGCCTTCTCACGCTGCACACGCTCAATGTAGATGACGTACTTCTTCCTGTACACCTGGACAACTTTGCCAATCTGCTGGCCTTTGTAGTGTCCCCGGACAACCTGGTCACAACAGAGGAAAACAACAAAAGCAGGAAAATTAAGCCTCAAAAAATGTAATTATCTAGAACAGTAACTGCCTCCTCAAGTCCTGCAGTTTGGAGACAAATGAGTAGAAAGGCCCCACAATTTCAAAATGACTGTCAACTAATGAGGTTCATGTAACGAGCAAAACAGTAACAAGTTACAAGCATGGTAGGAAGTTCACATGAATACAACACAGAGCACAAAAAACCTGTTCTCTTTAAAAAGACAAGTAAATTCACTAGTTTCTCCCAAAAACAAACTGCTCTGTAATACATCAGTCGAAATATATCAAAGCAACATGACTTATAAACTCTCAAGGGCTTACCTGGACCTCATCGTCCTTACGGATGGGCATGGACCTTACGTTGTACTTCTGGCGGAGCTCTTTGGAAAGAGGAGAGGACATGATCTTCCTGCGGATGTGTGAAGGGGCATTAAAGTGCCTCTTGCGGTTCTTGCGCCGAGAGGAGGTCACAAACGGATTGATCTTCATGGTGGCTATGGAGCATAAAAAAGTGCAGACCAGTCAGCCCGCTAAGAGCAATCAACAGCCGCAGAGCGCACACCTTACAAATCGTGAGAATTTAACACACGCTAGTAAGATCAGGCGACTCTAGATGAACAAGTTTGAGTGTTGGTTGATAATAGTCACCCTCCAGCCACCACAAACAAGTACTTGGCTTTTTTACAGTCACAATACTTAATAGTAGTCTTCCAGCTACAGTCGGCGCGTCTTTGACACGGGTCTAACTTAGCCAAACATTCCCCACTACAGAAGCCGCGACCACCCTTAGCACTCATTAACAACTACCACTGCAAACTGAACGCCTTTCTTTTTCTTAAACACACAGCACGGCTTCACATTTGGCCTCCAGTCTGTATAAACTGCCCCTCTGAGCGCGAAAGGAGGAATATTTATAACAGAGTCGGGCAGATCAGTGCTAGACCGCTAGCAACAAGCTAGCTCTGCTCTTCGGCCAAAATACCGGCGACTGGAGGCAAATCATTCAGAAATAACACAACCATAATAACATTTGTGATGTTCTATACCGTCAGTCTGTGATTTGGATTACACACACGTTAAACCGGTAAGGATGGACAGAGATTAAACTTAAACAGCATTGCCAGCGTCTCTCACCCTACCGAGTATTCCGCTATGGCCGCCGGAAAAGAGGCTCCTAAACTACTTCCGCCCGAATTAGTCGAGCACCAAATATCGCGATAATTGGAAACGCGAACAGCGGGAGGAGCTTCAGACTTCAGCTCGGGTTCAAATCATCAACTGAGACGATTAAAGTTACTGTTCTGATCAGATACGCGTCACTGAGTTATCAATACCAACCACAGCTCACATTTACATTCACTTTACATTCATAGAGGGAAACACATAACATCGCTGTCCATTTATGTCCAAAACGGTGACTTACAGGAGAAGGCAAAAACCTTCATTACCTTTTTTTATGGTCCATGGTTCATTTCAATCAAGTTTTATGGAGCAGGTTCTGCGTTTAAATGATGTAGTGAAATAAAAATCGAAAAAAGAGAGATACATTTTTTTTGTGTGTTTTTATTTAATCATCATCATTATTATTATTATTATTATTATTATTATTGAATATTATATATCGAATTATGACTCTTCGTGACATTTGAGTTTCCCTTTTTTCAATTAACATTTATAAATACACACATAAAAATGGTGGTTCTTCAAGGGTTCTTTAGTAAAGAAAATGGTTCTATATAGAACCTTGAATACTTTTTTAAAGAATACTTTTTGAGGAAGTATTCTTTAAAAAAGTGGCTGAACATGTTAATTTGGGCAGTTTTCTTTGCAGACTTCTGCAGGTTTGCATCCAAAATATCTTTATACACTTCTGAGTTTATGATTCCTTCAATGAACAGAAAAACAGCCTCAGACTTTCTCCAGGCTTTCTCCACACAAACACAAATGCTGCTGAAAAAACCCATAGAAACCATTAAATGGTGATTGTAAAATCAGAGAGCACCAACAAAATGAAACAAAAGGTTTTGACATTCATTAATCAGTCTCTGCCAAAAAAGCCTCCATGCTTTTTAAGATGTTTAAAGCAAGATGTTGTGTAAAAAAAAAAAAACTGAAAAATAAATGGATCATACAGTGAGTGTGAACCCTTTTTAGTAAAAACAGTAGATCATGAATAATGATTAACTGAGCCCACAACCAGGAATTGAACTGCAGTGTTTATTTAGGTACAATTTACATCCCCATTTTTAGAGACTACAGGAAACTTTGTAGTATGTTTTTAAAAAATCATTTATTCAACCTCTAGTTAGCTAAAATAACACATTAAAGGATTAATCTCCACTGTTTATTCATTTATTTTGGTAAGCCCTTTTTTCTAGCTTTTATTGTGACAGAACTCTGTCTACATTCTTTTGTGTGACTTTTAGGAGGAAGATTCTTCCCAATAAACACTGTGTCATGGATTCATTTGCATGCACTTTACTACACTACGATTATTCCAGGTTTGTGGATTATTCCAGTAATTGCTCAGGTACTTCATCTCACACAGCAATAAGAATGGATTATATGGGCATTACATTCTCAGAAAAAAGGAACTGTCACTGGGGCAGTACCCCTCTTGTCACCAGGGTGGTACTCTCAAAGGTACATCTGAGTACTTTTACTCAGGAAACATAATTGTACCATAGTCCATTAAAATTATATTTTCTAAGTTGTATTGACTCCACGAACCCCGCCTCGTCTCCAGGGTTTTTATTTTATGGTTCTGTTTTAAAACATTAGATTATAAAAAGATACAAATATGTACTTTTCCACTGGGAAAAACTTACTTAGGGCACACAATTGAACTTTAAAACCACTGTTGTACCCTTGAGGGTACTTTTACATTGTTTGTACCTTCATGAACAAAAACTGTACCTGCACAGCACCTTTATTTCTAACAGTGTAGGGTGCAGATGTAGACCACATTCATTTGTTATTCTCGAAGTAAGAATAGCTGGTCTATACTGCTGTAAATACATTTTCACAAGTTACATTTCTGGACCAATCTGACTTTACAGATGGGCTTCAAAACACTTAAAATCTCTGTTCTTTTGAAAAGGAAACCTCCCAACTGAACTGCGCTAACATGCCATGGAAGCAGGTGTTCTTTCTTTGGCTACCTCAATAGGACCCATTGAAATAAACATGCCAATACAAAGAGGATCAAAGAGAGAACCTTTGATGGCTCACATCCGCAATGCCTGGCACCATTCTATAAGAGGGAGTTCCCAGCGTGCATCTGTAGACCTTCAAAGTCCTGGTTGTTTGCTTAGTGTGAACAGGGTTAAGACCATCCTGAAAAACGAATAAAAGGCATTTCTAAGTAAAGAGCACACATGGACAGCACAACAAAACACAAAGTCTCGATGATTCAAGGTTTTGGGCTAGTTATGCTGCATATAATACACACTTTGTTCTATTCTCAATACAAATTTTGGCTGGTTTCAAAATAATTACACAGAACTGCGCAAAGTCAAAGCAATTAAGAGTAAGTTGTTCCTTTTTCAGCATCAGGAATAGAACATAACACCTAAATGTAATATCACGTTTTTTAGTATTTAGTGTTTCCGCTCCTACAGTTTTTCAGGGATATTTTTCTTCACCTTCAAAGTTCAGTCTTAGAAATTAGTTGTATTTTTTGTCCATTATTTTGAGAATATCAGCAGCTCTTTTGTTTGATTTGTAAGTTCTCTTCTTTTTTGTCTATTTCCTTTTCTTAGTAAGGGCTCCTTGACAGCTACACACCCTTTCAGACTCATAGTGTTGAGTTGTCGTCTTACAGTGGAAGGATGACGAAAGCACTAAGTACTCTTTATCTGATGGGGACAGTTTTGGTGGTCTACCAGGTCTTGATGCTAGGAGTCCCATTTTCTCTGTATTTTCTTTATCATTTTCTCATTATCAATTTTGGAAACTCATGATTTTCCTTTGACTTTCCCCTTAAAGTTATGCCAATGGATTATCTTATATCTAATTTTCTCAGAAATATCTCCTGCAAAAATGAGCAACTAGTTAATGACTTAATGACTGTTTTGACAAGAAATTAAATAAATTAAGGGTCTCTGACTTTTGAACAGTACTGTACATGCGGTTCCAAGCACTCTTAGACCAAGATCATGACATATTTATTTAGTGCTGTCCTCATATACTAACATAGCAACATGTCACATGAATTCAGACAATAAAGTAAATATTGATCAGAACTGCCATCAGCATGGAATAGCAAACACAGTATATGGCAAAGTCTGCCTGTTAAATGACTGTGTATTATGTTCTCATGTGCATTTTTAAAGCAGCAGTGGATGCAGCGCTGCAGCACAGTGCAAACTCTCAGATTCTTATGTTCCTCTGGCCACACCTTGAGCTGCAAAGCACAGGTGTGTCCCTACCCGTGACAAAACCTGGAGTGTAAGGTTTTCATTACTGATCCTACAAGGTTTCCTCTCTGCAAAGGCATTCAATACATGGTTGATCCCCTGTATTAAATGTGGAGTGTCTTAACTGGAAATCATGGGCAAATTCTGGAATGAGGTGAGTAGTATTAGCTGCTTTTGAATGGATGTGGGAGAAAGATTTTGGTCAGACGCTCACCAGCTGTCTCCAACAGTTGGTAATGTTCCTGATGGTGGTGAATGTTTTGGTGTGGACGGAGGCGCATAAAGAGGGGAAGACACGGAGGCGAAAACTGGAGAGCCAACAGGAACCTCAGCCCCAGAGGAATGGATCTTCTTTCAGAATGCCCCTGGATCCAATCTTGACCGGTGAGGCTACAGCAGGGTCAGGAGAGATGGACTTTGACAAGACCATAGAGGACATGGTGTCTCAAGTGAAGAGCAACCCAGCTCTTTCCAAAACCAAATGTGTGGTGGATCGCCAGCTATGGATGTCCAACAGTCGAAGCCTCTCCCCATGGTCCTACAGGTGGGCTAAGCATCTCCTGCACTACCTAATGGAATTTAGTCAAGTGTAGTTCAGAGCAATAAACTGAAATGTGGGCAGTTAGTTATTTAGTCAGTTAGTTAGAGTACAGTAGCAACTGTTTTTGGTTCAGTTAACATTAGTATGCACTGTTGGGTTACACTGGCTTATGATTTTTTAAGATAGACTTTCACAAGGGAGATATTTTAATGCAGCTAGCTTGGGGTGGCACTGCAAATAAAATGCCTAATAATGCACTGTGGGAGCTGCCTAGCAAACAAGGGGTAACATGACAGCTAAAGCAGGAAAACTAACAGCTAAGAGTAATTACAGAGTGTAACATAAACAATACATAATAAACTGATGATATGCAGAATCAGAATCACATATTCTGGATGAAACTTCCAGAACCCAAAGGGCAAATCCATTGATTTTTAAATAATTCTAAATAAATAAATAAATAAATGTGTTAAACATGCAAACATTCAGGGTGGTTACAGCACTCTACAGAAACACAGTCACAACTGAGCCCTTTAATGAAAAAGTATATTGTAAAATCATAAGCATGGTATGGCATTGTTTGACACCCTGTATTTAAAATAAAGGGGTCACTAAAAGGTAGACAATGCATAGTTTGGCTATTTAATGTAAAGGTTGTACAAAATAACATAGAAAATACAATACCTGATAAAAAGGGTGTAATGGTTAATGTGTGTGTGTTTTTTTTTCTGTTTGTTTGAGTGGCTCACAGTAGTTGTGATAGGAACCTGACATCCAAAGCATTTAATACCTCTAAAAACTACCTCACAGAAAGGAATTACATATAAAAATGGTTATAAATATGCTGACTATGCCTCAGACACTATTGCACAGCAACTGTCCTTTTTTAAAGCCATTTATGGTGGGAAGGTACATTCAGGAAGTCAGAGAAAGCTTTTTTTTAGATTTACTAAAGTTTTCGACATTACATTTACAGATTTAGAAGACACATGTAGGTTCACTGGTTGTTATGGATGGTAAACAAAGTGTCTAGATTTGCATTGTAGACATTGCGACCCCTGGTGTCAAACAAGTTTCTCTACACTGAATCCTTTTACATAGCAAGTGGGCAGGCCTAGCTTACATATGGGAAAGTACTGTATGTGAAATAATGGCTCAAGTAAAAGTATAAGTTGTAACCAAAAGCCGACTTGAGTGAAAAGTACCAGGTGAGTATCAGTTCCTAACACATCTAGTAGAAGTTTTTTTAAACATGTAGCGTAGGTGGGTAAATGTAACTAGACTGCACTCACAGTCACATCACTGCTAGTCAGACCTCCAAAGCTGCGTGTGGTAACAGCTCTGCTGTGGGTCTCTGTACAGAATCAACCATGATGAGAAGCGCCGGCCAGTGGACATCCCGGAGGCGAAGTGCTCGTGCTCAGGCTGCATCAACCCGTTCACCATGCAGGAGGACCGCTCCATGAGCAGCGCGCTCATCTACACGCAACTCCCGGTGCGCAGGCTGCTCTGCGATGCGCCGCCCGGCCGCAGGGGGCGCCGTAAGAAATGCGTGCCGCGCTACAGGACCGTGGTGGAGAGCATCGCAGTGGGCTGCACCTGCATAGTGGGCTGATGGGAAGGCAGGGGCCCCCGATATTTTTCAATGCACAATTTTTTAAACATTGTAATAAAAACTATTATTAATGCATATAATGTTGTATTATTGATTGTATCTGTTTATCATGGGTGTTTATGTTTAAGTTGTTAAAATAAACATTAAAAAACACGAAGCTAAGCTTTTATTATTATTATTATTATTATTACTACCGGTAGTAGTAGTAGTAGTATATAATAATAATAATAATAATAATAATAACTATCATGAATGCATATTGTGTTGTATTATTAATAGTATCCGTTTATCATATGTGTTCATGTTCAGGTTGTAAAAATAAACTTTAAAAACACAAAGCTAAGCTTTTCTTCTTCTTCTTCTTTTTATCATTATTATTATTATTATTATTATTATTATTATTATTATTAGCATCACAGTAGGCTGCACCTGCATAGTGGGCTGATGGGAAGGCAGGGACCCCCGATATTTTTTAAAAGAACAATTTTTAAACATTGTAATAAAAACTATTATTAATGCATATAATGATGTATTATTGATAGTATCTGTTTATCATGGGTGTTTATGTTCAAGATGTTAAAATAAACAAAAAAACACAAAGCTAAGCTTTTATTATTATTATTATTATTATTATTGGTAGTAGTAGTAGTAGTTCGTAGTAATAGTATATAATAATAATAATAATAATAATAATAATAACTATTATGAATGCATATAGTGTTTTATTATTAATTATTATTAATTATTATAATAATGTATTATTACCTGTATTATCATATACTAACAGGGGTGCCAATAGTTCTAGAGGGCACCATATCACATGTAAACAAATGATGTGGTAATAAATTCGATATATTTCTGCTTCATAAATTACTGCAGTCTTCTTTGCATTTTCTTCTGCTGGAGGAGAATCTCTCTCAACAACTTGTTTAGAGCAGGGTGCCCAATGTTTTTGTTTTGGGAGGCCAAAGCACAATGCCTGTGGTGGTCCGAGGGGAAGTTTTTAGGTTTTTTTCTCTTTTTTTTGTGTTTTATGCCATTGCACTGTATATTCGTAACTTAACCAAGAATTTAATAAGTTATGTACAGTATAAAAATATGTTTGCTCTCTCGTTAGGTGAACATCTCACAGACCAGGGTTCACACTGACCTCATTACACACTGATATAAGCTGGGTAGACTAGCCTAAACCTATTCTCTAGTCAAAGCCGTATCATAACGTATACTGTGAAATAATGACTAAAGTACAAATAAAAGTAGCTACCAAACAAGAATCAGGTAAAAAAAAAACTCCTATAGTTTCCTATAGAACTGCAGTACATGCAGCAACAGCACAGACAGCAACAGCACTCTTTTTAGGATCGTTTTGATCTACATAAAAACACTAAAGCTGATAAGTGAGAGGTGTGAGCAACACCAGTCCAGGTAATGTCAACATCAGAACACAATGAAAGAAATTCTCATAAAACAAAGAAATTAAAAACTATGTGTGAAAAACTAAAATAGAACGAGACAAAAGGTGCAGGCCTTTCCTCACAGCTTCAGTGTAAGTAAAAGTATTATCACTTTTAAAAACATAAATTCATTTTACTTTCAGGGATATTTCACTATTTCACATATTTTTCTAAATTTCTCCAGAATTGTTAAAATGTAAACGATGCCATTCAGAGTGGTTGTTATAGAGTAACTTGCAGATCACACTGGTGGTGATAGGAACCAGACGTCTGAACACCTCTAAAAGCTCCCTCACAGAAAGCTAACACATTCAGTGGTTACAAATACTCTGCCTCATGCCTGATAAAAGTTTAAAAAAACATAATTTTTAAAATACATCCACAACAGAGAGGTATATACATACTTGCCTATCTTTGGCTATATTTGCATTATAGACCTTGTGACTCCTTTCAATAACATTGTAAAGAAATATGAGATAGTTAGTTTCTCAGCAGTGATTAATTTCACATCAAACTACTCAGAAAGACTACATACACACAACGACTAAATTATACTGAAATAAAAAAAATGGTGGAATTCACCATTGACCATACAGAACTAAGTTTAGATAGCTACTAAACACTTCTGGTTGTCACTTGCTTCCAGCTCTCTAGAGCATGGAGTCATCACCATGGTTCTGTAGTCCTGCACATTTTACTGTTCCTGCTCTAAACCTTACTTCAACATTTGGATCAGGTATGTTTGGAGCAGGGAAAACACTAAAAAGTGCAGGACATGGGTTCACCAGGACCAGAACTGGGAACCCGTGCTCTAGAGAAGTATTATTTCAGTGTGCCCACTAGAGAGCAGTGTCACTACAGAAATTACACTAGTCTTCAGGCAGATGCCATATCCATCCAACAGGCATGCTTTCTTTATTTTATTCATTTTATGACATACATTTCCATTACTCGCTGTAAAATCACAAAAAAATTGGCAAATGCTATGACGTGTGGTGAGTGGTTGATCATTTTGAGGACAATAAAAACCTAATTCAAGATGTGTAGGACCAGAAAGTAAGTATCTGAAATCAACAAATAGTGTCAATAGCTACTGCTGCAGGTCAGTAAAACTTTTATAGACTTCAACATGCAGCATGCATGAGTCCTGCCTCTTTCTAAATAACAGTAAAGTTAAAAATCATGCATTCATGATTACCTCTAATTTTTCAGCCCACCTATAGGTTGTAATACAAACGTTGTAAGACCTTACAAATGGCAAATTACAATCACCAGAGTAGAAAAAACAGAGAGGTAGAATATGCAATAAAATGCAGTCAAGTATTCAACTGAATTTGTCCATAGGACATTAGGATTGTTCTTCGTCTTTGTGTAAATTAAGGAATGCGATCCCACAAGTATAATCCTACTACAAAAAAAGTAAGTCTCTATAAACATTGTCCATTCCTATTTATCTCACCATTCATATTCTATTGGACATCATCCTTGTGTTCAGTTTCCTAAAAAATGACCTCATTTTGCTGAACTTCTTCTTCTTGTCCTTCTTGTCTTTGTTCCTCCTGGGATAAACTCGGTTCCAGCAGTCTGCTTCCTCATCCCCAGCCCAAGGCCTCCAGGCGCCCCCATTCAGGCTGGGATCAGCCCTGGGGTCTTCGGCCGGGTAGCGCACGGGCACAGCTGTGCGGTTATAAAAGGCCAGCCTGGCCAGCAGCTGCTTCACCACGTCCGGCCTTTTCTCCGCCACGTCGTACCGCTCGTACGGATCTCCGCTAACATTGAATAGCCACACGGATTTGCGCGGCTCTGTGTGGCGCTCCAAGTCCCACCAGCCTCCTGGAAAGTTTCCCAGCATCTGTGGAGGAGTCCAGTCCCCATATCCCGGCTCCCCGGTCAAAAGCTTCCAGTCTCCCACCCGAACTGACGCCTGCACGGCTGTGTTCCAGATGCCGAACCCAGCCCGGAGGGAGCCGTGCCGTGCCTGGACGTAGAGCGGGTCAATGTTGTGCAAGATCTCAAGGCGGGGAGACTCCTTGCCCTCACTGATAGTCTCCCACATGTTGTATCCGTCCAGCCCCTGGGTCCAAGACACATTGCCCCCTGCCAGGCCAACCAGTGTCGGGTACCAGTCGGTGATGTGGACCAGCGCCTTGCTGACCTTCCTTCGTTGCCTCAGAAGTGGACTGTGGACAAAGCCCACTCCACGGACACCTCCTTCCCAATATGTCCCTTTCCTGCCTCTGAGAGGCCAGTTGCTCCCGCCAAAGAGTGGCTGGCCTCCGTTATCTGTGGAGAAGATGATTACACTGTTGCGATAGTAGCCGTACTTCCTTAGTGCATAAGTCACATTCCGCACTGCCTCATCTACAGCCGATACCATGCCGGCATATTTGCGGCGCAGAACGTTCCCCATTCCACGGTAAGGGTAGATGTACTCCTTGGGAGACTGCAAAGGAGTGTGCACAGCCTGGAAGGACAGGAAAATAAAGAGAGGCCGTGCTGACGGGTCGTGCGATGCTAGGATCTTGCGTACTCTACGGGTGTAAAGGTGAGTGGAATATTTACCCCTATGTCCCCACGCCACTGCCTCCCCTTCGTGGAGATCATACCCGCACATGCCCGGGCCGTCGCAGGAGTCATAAGTGTAGTAGTCCACGCTCCCCGTCAGAGAGCCAAAGTAGGTGTGGAAGCCCCGGCGAGTGGGGACGCAGTCCCGCTTGTAAAAGCCCAGATGCCATTTTCCCACCATGTGGGTAGAGTAGCCAGCTTCCTGGAGGCGCTGCGGCAGAGTGACCAGGTCAAAAGGCAGGCAGTTAGGCTGACGGGGCCGGATGATGGAATGCTGGAGGCCAGTGTGAATCTGATACCTGATGGGAGGAAAGGGAGCTGTTATTGAAGACAATGAGGGTGACTTAGATTATAATGATGATGGTGATCAGAGGTGAGTAGAGTAGCCTTAACCCACACTCCAAAAAAAATGCCTTGTTACTGCAAATATAAGTATCTGCCCAGAAAAATCTCCTCAGGTGTTGAGTTCCTTATAGCAGAGGTTCCCAAATTCAGACCCAGAGACCCCATGCTCTGCATATTTTTTGTGTTTTCTCTAGTCATGAGGAGCTTGTTAATTAGTTAATGAGCTGTGTCCGATGAGGGAAAGCGCAATAATGTGCATAGTGTGGGCTGCCCAGGGAGCTTTACAGAACAACTACTCAATATATATATAATCTATCAGCATAGGCCCTGAAGTTTGTTAGATACTTTTCTGGCACAATCCTTTTGGTCTGAAATGAAATGCTAAAGCTTGAAAGTGAAAAGTGTACTCAACAAAAAATCAGTGTGTTTTGCAGTAAAACTGGTACAGGCCCAAGAGAAGAAATTAGAGGTGGGTGATATGCCAAAACGTATGCAAAGACATTTTCACAACACACAGAACACATCACAATATTTTGACACACAGATGCAATGCACCAGTAGTGCCACATCAAAAAACTTTGAGTACATGAGTTTTCTTCAATGTTTCACATACTGCACTGCATTAAATCCAACCAAATAGGACTAATGATGCTCTCTTTGTAATGAAACATGCAGTCGGTCAGTGTTCTTTAAGTACTGATGTTGCGTATGATATGCTCAAAACAGCATATTGTAATGTAATGTATCATGATAATGATAAAATATCACCATACTGCCCCTCCTAAATTTAAAACAGAGCAAGGAATTAACGACTAAATGTGAAGGACTAAAACGTAGAGGCGTAAACAAAACGTCTTGATGCGAGATGGTTCATTGTAGAGTAACTTACTAACACAGATTTCTGTACAGTGGTGGTGATAGGAACCAGAGGTTGTGATGTCCACAAAACACATATAAAGCCATTTTATTTACTGCCCAAAACCACCAATTAGTTTGTATATCGCTGTTGTCAGAACAAAACCACAATTTTCAGTTTTTGACATTGTTTAAAAGTACCTGTTGCCTTTTAAATTGTGTGTAAATTTCATGATGAACAGACCAAAAGAAATGGCCCAAAATGACCTGGAAAAAAGTCTGGTTACATTGACTTACATTAAAAGTAAAGTATGTTTTTCCTTCTCCTGTGAAGTTACCATTTTGGAGACACAAAGTTTTGTTCTGATAGCAGTGATATGTAATGTTGATAATAGTGAAACAGTGTTTTCATCAGGGACTATTTTGCTTTAGGCTACAATGCTGGCATGTACGTCTCCACCATTTATGTATATATGTATGTATGTATGAATGTAGTTATTTATTTAACATTTTAGACCGAAATCTTATCTCGAAACTATCATAAACAATGTGTCAGCCATCACGCAACATGTTCATAAACATTTTGTGCAACATCTTTCTGTGAGAAAGTGTTAAAGGCAATAAACTCTTCAAACGTCTGGTTTCTTTCACCACCACTGTGAACAATTCTGACTCAGTAAGTTTCTCTAGAACAGAGCATTTCACACCAAACCACTCTTTGTTTACAAGTTAATTATGCAGAATTTTTAAAAGAATGACAGAATTTTCATTATATAAACACTTAAAAATGTGTTTTAGTCTTTAGTAAAGAACCATGAGTTTTATATAGAACCATTTCATGCTTAAAAGGTGCTTTGCATGGTGAAATTGTTCTTCAGATTGATGGAGAATGTGTTGTATATGGTTCTATAGACTCTTTTTGTAAATGGTTCTGCAGGGCACCAAAAAAGTTCTTCTATTTTTATAAACTTGACACTGTAACAGTAAAAGAACCCTTTTTTTGGTGCTATATAGAAACATTTTCAAAAAGGTTCCATGTAGAACCATGCAACACATCTTCCATCAATCTGAAGAACCATTTCACCATGCAAAGCACCTTTGAAGCATGCAAATGATTCTATATAGAACATACGGAACCACTGTCTTTACTAAAGAACACAGAGAAGAACCATTCTTTTTTAAGTGTACAGTTTCTCCGCGTCTGTCCACCAGGTTCTAGCTAATCTAAGGCTAAAAGAGCCGGGTGCTTCATTAGCGTGAGGGGGAGTCGTGAGCTCTACCTGCCCGTGAGCAGCTGACTGCGGGACGGGGTGCAGATGGGCTGCACGTAGTAATTCTCCAGCTTGACCCCCTCGGCGGCCAGCTTGTCCAGCGTGGGTGTGCGGATGTCTGGGTTGTGGTAGCCGATGTCGTTGAAGCCCAGGTCGTCCGTCATGATGAAGATGATGTGAGGGGCTCGGTGTCCGGGCACGGCGGCCCCGGGCTCGTTCTCAACCTGGTTGGGGCTCGTCCAGTCCCAGGACAGGTAGCCCACACTGAGCAGACTCATCACGGACAGACCCGTGAGCGGCGACAGGGCCATGTTAACTTTCCTCCTGAACAGCCTAAAGAGCAGCGCTGAGGAGGAGCAGGTCCGAGAGAGCTGGACACGCTGGGTCCATGTCCGAAGACTGCCAGAGGGAGTGAGTGGGTGAGAGAGTGAGTGAGTGATCAGGCACACAGCTTCGTGGCTTCACTGTTTCTCCCTGCACGGGGTCAGTTTGCTTTCGAGGATTATCGCACGATTCCTTAAAAGCTCTCGTGTTAACCCCGCCCGGATGGACCTGAACCAAACACTGTTTGGGTCACATGCCAAGTCGAGTAAACATACTCAAAAATATATTTAAATAACCCTTATCATTGTTTTCTATATGAACTCGGTGAACTTATGGAACGTTTGTAAACTGGGACCGTATTACAGAAACTTCCGAACTCTCAAATCTTATCTGCTCAGTCACCATGACAACTTCAGTTAGCACTGAATTTAGGACAGAAGCTATTTCTCAAGTTCATAATCTCATCCTCACTCCAGATAAGAAAACGGCTTTACAGAAACATCCTAACTAGACTCAATTTCCCACATTCTGTCCTAACTTAAAGAAAATCCCAGAGGTGTCTTAACTTCTGTTTCAACTTCAGTTCACTATAACTAGCATAATGACGTTACATTTACACACTCTGAAAACTGATTTGAGTTAAGAGGGCTTTTACTGACAGCGTTTTAAAAGCCCCAGGAACTGCAGACACGATCTCCACTGTCCCCTCTTATTGCCTTCGTGTATTTACGTCGATGAAAACTTTCAGAAAAAAATCTTACACTGATATCGCTGAATGATAAGGAGACGGAGCTGAACGTGTGTCTGTTTATTAGCGCGGTCGGCTAAAGCATTTGGGAAACTGAAACTGTGGAGCCGCGACGCTCTGATAAACAACACGAAGCGCTGTCTCAATGTTCATAACTTAAAATTTATCGCGCTTCAGTTTTGTTTGACCGTTTTCGTAACAGTAGCGGCAGCTAAACTAGCTGTTTGGCTAACTAACCTGATTATTTTGATTATGTGTTTACGTTTCAGCTGTGCCGGTGTGGTCGGTTGCTAGGAAACAGACATGACCGTTGATTGTCGACTTTGATCAAGTAAGGATTTCCTATCTTGAGATAAAGAGGCTGTAAGATAAGGTAATATTCCAAAATTAAGATAAGACTAACTTCTGTAATACGAATTTGTGAAAAATCTTATCTTGACCTGTCAGATCTTAACTTAGGACAGAAAGATAGGAAGTTTCTGTCTCCCCGTATCTCAACAGAGCCTTTGTGCATTCTAAAAGCTAAAAGATTACAAATTATAAATGACCTCCACCATCTAGTGTTGGTATAAAGGAGAGCGGGTTGGTTCACACAGTTTTCACTCTCTTCTGTATATCCCAGGCAAAACATACTTTGCAATAACTCAACTAGCAGCAAATGAAAGCTGAACAATTTTGCTAAAAGCAGACATTTTCAGTGTCAGATAATATTTCCCAGAATTAGTGCATTCACAATTAAATTAGTGTTGTGCCAGCCAGACACAACACAGGCTTCAACATGTAAGTGGGCACAATGTTTAAAGGCTATAATTTAAAACATTTCATTGAACAGTGTTGATATAATTTAATAAGTGACTCTTAAGATTAACATTTTTTGTCATGCTCTATATAACAGAAATAAACAGAAATGCAATTTTCAGACATAAAAGTAAGTATACCCCTACATTTAGCATTACAAATCAGGCGCACTCGATCAGGTGTGAAGCATTAGAGCACACTTAGAGAATCTTATCTTAAAGGAACCTTTCTGATTTAAACCTCAGATATCTGGTCTGGTTTGCTCCTTGTTACTGGAGTGTGGTATCATCATGCCTAGATCAAAAGAACTCTCTGAAGCCTTCAAAAAGAAGGTTGTAGATGTCTAGGATGGGGTTTACAAAGATTTCCAAAATATTGGAAATCAGTCATCCCACTGTCGGAATATCATCTAGTGGAGAAGACTTAAAACCACTGCCGGCTTGTCCCATCAGGACACAATTCTGTATTTGCTTCATGTTAGTTAACCAGCATAGCTTACTTTGGCTTTTAAATCATATGTTAAAATATAGCTGATTGCCATTTCTATTAATTAGAATTAATATATTTTAAAATTCTCTTTTATAGATTCCTATGATGTATTCACCCAGGCTGACGTAGAAAAATCAAAAAGTTATCTTACATTAACAGACTGTAACATTCAAAGCTCTTGACAAAAAGGATGAATGTTGGTAAAGAGGGCAATCATTTTTATATCATATTTTTGTGAGAGCTTCTCTTACTGACCCAGAAGTTAACACTGTGCCAACCGACCCCTGTGCCAAGCAACTCCATTCTCCCCTACGGTTACTTGTTTGCTTTATCTCTGATCGACCATGAATGCTGTAATTCCCAGCATTCCGTGTAAACATGGCCAATGTAGTCTGTGTATGGGGTCTTTGTAATGACTTCAAATTGAAATTGAAAACAGCTCTCAAACCTCGAAGTTGCCTAACCCATCACAAAATACTCTTCATGATTCTGCAAACACAAACAGGAGGCCCTGTCCTAAAAGCTCACGTTTTGGGCCTTTGGGGGCATTTTGCGGGAGCTGGGGTCCTCAACAGCCTTCAACGGGAGCCGTGTTCTGGTGCACAAGAGTCCTCTTTATTGGGCTGTGACTGTTTGTATTGTATGTGAGTAGAAACCGAAAAGAGCAGGTACTAAGTCGCACTGCTTCGTCCCACAGAGCCCACACAGGACCAGCAGATAGCATCTCCACTAGAGACGAACATAAAGGAGCACTGTAATGTGCTGCTGCCACAGCACTGCTCCAGAAGCCTGTAGGCTCATTCAATAAAGGCAAATTAGATTCTATTTGATCATATTAAAACATGAAAGTCAGATATGCTAAACATGTCTGAAAACAAGGGTTAGGTTTTCCATGAAAAGAGAATTGTTGCTAAGTTCTTAAAATATTTGCGAACAGTTTTTTTCCAACACAAAGGGTCTTATATGGCATTATATTGTGGTTTAAAACAAAAAAAGCCATCAATGTCATTAATGACATTAAAAGTTGCTTTCCAACAAGTTTGTCAACTTTCTGCCCTGTTCGAGCTGCCTTAGACAACTGCAGTTGCTGATATTGCAAAGTGGTAATGTCTAGGAGAAACAACATCTTGGCCACAAAGCAGTAAGCAGCACAAGCTCACAGATTGGTCGAACGAGTGCTGAAGAGCCTGATGTGTAAAATTCATCTGTTCATGGTTGCAACACTACTGAGACAGACTTTGGAAGCAAAGTCAGCATAAGAACTGTGTAATGGGTGTTTAGTGGATTGGGTGTCTATGGCTGAACAACTGCACACGTCTAAGATTGCCATGCACAATACCAAGCAATGGCTGGAGTAAAGCACACCACCTTTGGACTCTGAAGTGGTGGAAACATGTTTTTAGAGCTTTTTCTTGGACAAATGTGGGTTCTCATATGGAAAAGAAATTAATGTAAAATGTATTTATCAAATACCTTTGAACATGTCTGAAAATGGCCAAAACTGTTTTTTGCTTGATGTACTTTGTTTAATTGTATTTTTCCTCACATAGGTTTGGTGAATGCTAGAAGAATGCTGCCTGTCCAAGTGCACATTACCAACTATAAAGTTTGGTAGAGGATGAATAATAATAGGGTTGTTTTTTATGGTTTGGGCCACTTAGTTCAAGTACAGGTAAATCCTAGTGCCACAGCATATAATGACATTCTAGAGAATCGTGTGATTCCATCTTTGCAGCAGTAGTTTGGTGAAGGCCCTTACCTGTTTCAGCATGATAATGTTCCAGTGCACAAAGCGAGGTCCATGAAGAAATGGTTTGCTGAGTTTGGTGTGGAAAAACTTGACTGGCCTGCACAGAGTCCTGATCTAAACCCCCAACAACACCTTTGGGATGAATTGCAACACCAACAGCATAACCAGGCCATATCACCCAACATCAGTGCCCGCCCTCACTAATGCTCTTGTGGCTAAATGGAAGCATATCCCTGCAGCCATGTTCCAAAATTTTGTGGAAAGTCTTCCCAGAAGAAGCTGTTATTGCAGTAAAAGGGGGACAAACTCCACATTAATGCCCCTGGGTTTGGCACAAGATGTTCCAACGAGCACATATGGATGTGATGTTTGAGTATCCACATACCTTTGGCCCTGTAGTGTGTGTCTTTTTTGTCCCTGGGAAAGATGTACGCAGTGAGCAAGCAAGCAATGACTGTATTCACATTATATTTATTTGTTTATTTTTATGTTTGTTTTTCTTTCTGTGACAAACAACACAAACGAGAAGTAAGCAACATAATTCCAGATGATTTTTAAATGACACCTTTGGCTTAAGAAGGCCTTGAAAACATTTCACACCATTAAGTAAACATTACATTACAACCTTGAGTCAAGAACAACAAATCCACCTTAAGCTGGATTATATACAAAGAGCTCAATCAACCCACATGTCAAAACATCCAGTGTCTTTTTAGACCTCAACCTGAGATACAACGTTTTGATGTGTTTCTAAACTTATTATATTAAATATTTATTTTGTGGCATTTAAAGGACCAGATACCCTCAAATTGGCCCTTTAAAGAAACTGAACTTATAGTCAAGCTAAAAATAATATAAATGCATTTTCATATCTATTCATGGCTGTTTTGGCTTCTTCAGTCACGTTCTTTTGGTCAAAGTCTCTTGACTCACCAGCAACCACTGTTTCAATAGTGTGACCAAAGAGTGACTGAAAAAGAAGGGAAAAGATATAAAAATACATTTACTTAAACACACCTGAGCTAGAAATAAACCCAAGCTTGGTTTTAGCATTTTTAACATATCCTGACCTTTTCAACTGGGGCTCTTGTTCTTTAAACCCTTAAAATCCCAGGTTTATTACAAATTAAGATTTATTACATACTAAGACTTATCATTCAGTAACTATAGGGACTTCAGTGCAAACTGGCTGAATTAGTCTT